AATGTAGGCTATGATGTGCTTAGTATATAAAGATAAATTTATACAAGTAGAATAAATAAACAATAAGTAAGATCTATGACTAAATGCAGGAATCAGGATGCTGGTGTGGAGAAATGATGACAAGGAAATGCTTCCCTTGCCTTTGCAGGCAGATTCCACAGTCCTGTGCAGAGCCTGGACACGGATGATGATGGGAGTCCAGTGCATGCCGGGAGCTCTCACTGGAGTGGGGCACACTCAAACACTGGCATGCACTGCACAGACTCTAAAAAGAAGGATAAAGGTAAAGGTCAGTGTGCTTGCAGATGAAGGCCTGGGAGGTTGGAGCGCCCAGCTGCTCCTGGCTATTTGTGTAACTTCCTTGCTTTGGCAGAAATGGTGAGGAATTTATATTTTCTGGCATTGCTTTGTTAGCTGATAATACATCATAGGCTGGCAGGGGAGAAATTACTGGTCTTTGCATTTGAAAGCCGCTGCAGCTGACTGAAAAGTTAAAAATGGGCCCAGGTGTTTTGTAGTGGGTTTACTTCAACCTTCTATTACGTATTTCCTCCTGCAGATAAAGGTACTAACAATGGAATGTGCAGAGACTTATGTGACTCGCCTATATTCAGTGACAGCCCCACAGAAGAGGAGAAACCTCTAGATATCCAAACTGTAGAAATTTCTACAACAGAGGTGAATGCTGTAGAAGTTCATGATATAGAAACACAGACTGTGTCACCTGAGAAGCTGGAAGCTGAGGACCTTGAGGAAATCCCTCTGGAGACCTGTAAGATCTTTGAGAAGAACCAGGCTTTGAATATCACAGCTCAACAGAAATGGCCCTTGCTGAGAGCCAACAGCAGCGGCTTGTACAAGTGTGAGCTCTGTGAGTTCAACAGCAAGTACTTCTCTGATCTGAAGCAGCACATGATCCTGAAGCATAAGACATGTACAGACACTCACGTCTGTAAAGTTTGTAAAGAAAGTTTCTCCAGCAAAGTGCAGCTCATCGAGCACGTAAAACTCCACGAGGAGGATCCGTACATCTGTAAATACTGCGATTACAAAACGGTGATTTTTGAGAACCTGAGTCAGCACATAGCAGACACTCACTTCAACGACCACCTTTACTGGTGTGAGCAGTGTGATGTGCAGTTCTCCTCCAGCAGTGAGCTGTACCTGCACTTCCAGGAGCACAGCTGTGACGAGCAGTACCTGTGCCAGTTCTGTGAGCACGAGACCAACGACCCCGAGGACCTGCACAGCCACGTGGTGAACGAGCACGCGTGCCGGCTCATCGAGCTGAGCGACAGCTACCACAGCAAGGAGCGGGGCCAGTACAGCCTCATCAACAAAATCACTTTTGACAAATGCAAAAACTTCTTTGTGTGCCAGGTGTGCGGCTTTAGGAGCAGGCTGCACACAAACGTCAACAGGCACGTAGCTATTGAGCACACCAAAATATTCCCTCATGTTTGTGATGACTGTGGGAAGGGGTTTTCAGGTATGTTGGAATATTGCAAGCACCTGAGCTCTCATTTATCTGAAGGGATTTATTTGTGTCAATACTGTGAATATTCAACAGGACAAATTGAAGACCTTAAAACTCATTTGGATTTCAGGCATTCAGCAGATTTGCCTCATAAATGTACTGATTGTTTAATGAGGTTTGGGAATGAAAAAGATCTTTTAAGTCATCTTCAGATACATGAGACAGTGTGATTGCTTTCTTTCCCTGTAATCATTTTGTTAGAATTTGAATTAATTTCCAGTCACTGGAATGTGATATTAAATACAATTTTAAACAGCAACTGTACATTTCTAATGTTTTCATCTTTATATCAGCAAAGCATGTATAGCACTTGGTGTTGTGAATTTCCTTGTCCACGGGTTTCAGTAGGAATAATCACATTTACACTGTGGTGGATCAGATTTTGGGGGGAGGGACAGGGGGAGTAATTGCATGTTGTGATACCAATTCTGGTGGTGATCCTGCTCTTTCATGTCTAGTGTACAGGACCAGCTCTCTTGAGTTTAAAAAAGCACAAAAACAAAGCAAATATCTAATTCTATGCTTAAATAGCCTAATACTGGTCCAGTTCCACATCAAGCTCATGTTACCCTGGGTGGCAGCAGGTCACTGCACTGGTGTTTAGCAGTAGCACTGGCCTGCCAAAGATAAGGGTGCTCCAAAAGTTCCCAGGCATGGACATCTCCAGATTCACATACCAGTCTTCATTTCCCACCTCATGCTCCTGATAAGCTTTTTCAATTGTCCTGTTTTTCTCCTGGGATACTGTTCTGACCTCACTGTTCACTTTGTTCTGTGTTTCAGTCCCATCTGTGGGACTGTCCAACACACTCTTCCACATATGTACTGCATGACTCCCACATGATATTCCCTTTATTTACCTTCAGTTCCTGTCTTTTAATGCACTGAGGAGACACACATTGCTTGGGTTTGGATTGGATCATGTTCTAAAGAGTAATTGCAAAACAAATTTGTAATGATCCTGCTGAGAATGTACAAGATGCATTTCTTATATAAAATCCTAATATAGCTCTCACTGAAATTATGGATGTCACCAACCTCTGACTAGAGAAAATTTCTAGTAGTCCATATTATTGTAGTAATTCTGTATATTTAAAATTATCTTTCCACCACTAGTAACTTGAGGAATGTTATTTCAACTCTGTAAATTTAAAACTTTTATATACAGGCTTAAAAGACTGGTACATTACAAAATTTTTACTAATCACTCAAATTATTTCACACATTTGTTTATATTATACAAAGCACTATCCTGCCTTTGTAATCATTGGAAGTGAGTTTTTACAGTTCATTCTGTAGCTCTATATCTGAGTGGATAGTTGGACAGAAAAAAAAAGAAGAGTGGTGTCACTTAGATCATGCTAGATACCATGGTGAAAATACTCATAATAATTACTAGTGGAGTTTACATTTCTTCATTGATTGTAAATTTGTAATGTAAGATTGTCTAATGCAAGCTTTGTATAGAGATAATTAATGTATCAAACATTTCTTGATCAGTGAGGTTTGGTGTTATCAGCTTCAAGGCATGCAAGGGTCTTTGGATTTGATTTTTAAAGCTAAGGATAAAACTTGGCTGAATGTTATCGATTAATGGAAGTTCTGATTTCCAGAGAAGTATTTATGGAAACTATGAATCACTTAGTGGTTATTTTGTTGTGAGAGGCAAGACCATTTCCTCACTTTGAAATGCTGATACACTACTAGATCTTGTGTTTTGTCATTGAAAGGGCAACCTGAGGGTGTCTTGCTGTATTTTATTACTCCCTTGTATAGAGAATGACAGTATCTGTGGTAGAATTGCTGATTTCCTATTTTGTACACATTCTTCCCTGGCTGGCTTAAAATAGTAGCAATAATATAGTTTACAAAACACTAAGATGAATTATTTTCTATATGGAAAGTTAATTTTCCTCAAATATCTGAAAGGGGGAATGCTGGTTCTCTGAAAACTCTGCTCCCGCTGATGGCGCAGAGGTGGAATGGCACAGCTGAGCTCTGAAGAGAAAGTTGCTCTGGGAGACAGAGACAAGAAGTGGAAAAAAGGCATTTAAAAATCCCCCAAAATAAGTAAGGGGGCTTAAGAAGTGTGTATATTTGTGTAGACCAGCATTGTGTCCCCGGCAGGAAAGGTGGTGTCCTGTGCCAGCACAGAGCCCTTGTGACACTTGCTTGTTGACATGAATAACTTCATGGCTGTCTCTGAGTTGGGTTATTTCTGATCTCTAAAATGGGAATCAAAACAATCCCCCACAGGAATGCTGTGAAGCCACATCATTCCAAACTCTAAAATGCAGCGTCTAAACAGGAAATGTATCCAAGGTCATTTTAGGTTGGATTTTATAAATGAGGGACTAATGTTGGTATTTTCTTTTTACTATCAGGTAGTAAATGAAAGTGTACAGGAGTAGCATGTCTCATTTTAAAAGGGAACAGAAGTACACTGCTGGCTTCCACATGATCTGCGTGTTAAAGCAAGAAAGTTACTAAGTAGTAGGAAAAATAGGTAATGAATAAAAAAATAGGTAGTGAAAAAATAGGTAGTGAGTCTGCGTGGAATGTGGAAGGCTGAAAGGCATGGCTGAGCATGCCAAGGACAGGGACGACATTGGGGTTATTTGGGTGAAGTGGAAGGTGAGTGCTGTGACCTGGCCTCAGTTCCCTCACCCTGGAGCTCGAGCTGCTCGTCTCAGTCCGGAGAGGCAGAAATAAACTCTAGGGACGAGCACTGTGCCAGTATTTATTATTTCTCTCCAAGGCAGTAAGTATCAAATTCTGGTTGTTCACTGGTACCTGCAGGGTTCAGCTGTTTAAGGAACAGCATTCCAACAGAAGCTATGCAAAATCATGAGATTGGTTTTGGTAGTGTTTTATATTTGTGAGAGACCTGTATTTGATTCTTTGCTTTTCAGACTTTTGAACCCTTAGTTTCAATGTGTGAACCCTTAGTTTCGAGGGGTATTTTCCAACCTTAACAAATCTGTGTCAGATTCCTGGACCATATTTCTTATTGAGCAAAAGACCTTTTTTATGTGAAAGACTGTTGACTCCAAAACAAAGTTTACATCCCACAAATTATTGCAAGATCTTAAAATACAGTGGATTAATAATCCTCAAATAACGTGTCCTCTAAGAATGCTGTTGTCGCCGATTTTCATTTTGGTTCTCGCCCCGTACCAAATGCCTGAGGTGCCGGTGCTGTTTAACTCCTGCCAGCCCGCGGCGTTGTCACCGTGCGGGCTCTGCCCGAGCCGCGGTGCTGTGGGGGACCCCCGGGGATGATCCCGGTGCCGCCCGGGCTCTGCCCCCGGCCCTGCCCGGCTCCATTTCGCGAACTGCCCGCGCTCAAGATGGCGGCGGCCGCCCTCAGCCCGCACTGAACATGGCGGTGCCGGCGCGGGCGCGGAGCGGGGTCATAGGAGGAGGAAGGGGAAGTGACGCCCCCCCCGTCCCGGCGGCGGCGGTCACGGGCACGGCCGGGGCCAGCGGGGCTCCGTGAGGGACAGAGGCCGGGACTGGGAGCTCAGTGAGTGACTGGGGCTGTGTCAGGGCTCCGTGAGAGACTGGGGCGAGCGGCGGTTTCGTGAGGGGCCGGGGCTGAACCGGGGCTCCATGCGGGACCGGGGCCGAGCCAGAGCTCCGTGAGGGACCGGGTCTGAGCCGGGGCTCCATGCGGGACCGGGTCTGAGCCGGGGTTCCATGTGGGACCGGGGCCGAGCCAGAGCTCCGTGAGGGACCGGGGCTGAGTGAGGCACCATGAGGGGCTGGGGCCGCCGCTGCCCCTCGGCCTGACCGCACCGAGCCGGGGCTCCGGGAGGGAGCGGGGCCCGTCCTCGCTGGCCAGCGGGACAGCGCTGAGCCGCGGATGGTTCAGCCGCGTTTGACGAGGGGAAAGCCTCGTGTTTCCGGGACAGATAGCACCGGATCAGTTCGAATGTGCCCCCGAGTTTCGCCAGCTGCTCTTGGCGCTTGTGGGGAGGAGAGGGGAGCAGAGTAAACAGCTCAAGCTGAGCTTACTGCCCTTTGGAGTTTCGAGCTTTGATTTGGGGCTTCAGGCGTTTTTGTTTTGTTTTGTTTCCTAATGGCTGTGTGGGCAGTGTATGAGTTTTAATGAGCTGGGGTGTACGGAGTGTTTGGTCACTTGATGCGCCTTTCCTTGCAGCTGCAGCATGGCAGAAGCCTCTGTCTCTCCACTGAAGCACTTTGTGCTGGCCAAAAAGACCATCACTGCCATCTTCGACCAGCTGCTGGAGTATGTCACTGAGGGAGCGGCGTTTGTGGAAGGTGAGCTTTCCCCTTAAACACGAGAGCCTTGTCCTTTGTTCTGAGTATGTTTTATTGCAGCATAATGTACCTTATGTTATCTGTTACTGTGCTGTTTGTGTAAACGTGCACCTTCAGAAATAGTCACATTTTTCATTTGACACTGGGGATTTTTTTCATCTTGTGTTGGAAGGAATGCCTGGCATTGCTACATACCCTAAAAGCTGAGTAACTCACATGCATTGGTAGCCTGGTCTCTTTTCCATGGGGGTGAAAGCTTAACCACTCTGGTTTTATAGTTCTATGGTAGTTTGTTTTGCACAGAAGGAGGGACAAACAGGTTCTCCCATTTTCCAGCAGAAAGGTGCATCAGTGATGCAATGCAGGGAAACACTGGTCACACCCTCAGAGCCACGTTTAGCAGCGTGGTATGTGTGGGGCCACACAGAGCTGGTTGCTCATCATCCCAGTGAGCTCTGTGGGGGCAAGACAGCCCAGCTTTGCTGGTACATCCATGGGAGGTCCTGGTTTCATTTTCTGAAGGAAGCAGGTGTCCCACAGAACTGGGCACGTGAGCCCATCAAGCTGTGTTCACTGGGTTAGCCCATCAGTGGTTAGGTTGGTGATTGATCTGAACTGATTTATGTCATGATTTCAGCAGTGCTTGTGGCAGAGCTATCAAATGATAAGGGCTGGTATCAGTGTCTGTAGTGGGTTTTTTCTTGTTTTGTTTAACCACTGTAATTAAAATTTGTAGTTGGCATGTTAAGTACTGATTACTTACAGCTTGTATCACAAAACACGTTCTCTGTATGTGATTGCCTTTATGTTTTTCCTTTCTGTGTGTAGCCACATACAAGAACCCAGAGCTTGATCATATAGCAACAGAAGATGAACTAGCAAAAATACAAGCATATAAAAACAAGTTGGCAGTCATTGGAGAGGTGCTCTCGCGGAGACACATGAAAGTGGCATTTTTTGGCAGGTAATGAACGAAATTGCCAGTACTTAATTTCATTTTTTTTTTGACTTAGGTAGGTCAGAGGTTGTCCTGTTCTCCAGAATGGCTTTTGGGTTTTTTTAAGGTGGTGGTTTTGTTTGTTTTAATCTTTTTTCATTTTGGTTTTTTTGGGTTTTTTTTTTTGCTTTGGACTGTTCCTGTTTAGGATTTTTTTTGTATTTGATTAGAAGTGCTGAAGAACTAAACTTGGAGCTGTTCATCTATAAGCAGCTGAAGAGAAACAGAGATAGTATAGTTGCCTGGTTGGTTGTAACATCAATCTGATAGATCTGTGTGATGATTTTAAGGATAGCAGTAACAATGTGATCTACTAGTCCACTTTGCTTTGGGGAGATTGATTTTTCTGTCTGTACACTTAAACATGTGAATCTTCATGGTTCTAAAAATTCTGTGATAGTATTGGGTAAAACTTGTACAACAGTGGTCTTGCCTTCATTTTGCTAAAAGTAATTTAGTTATTTAAAAAAAAACTGTAAAAAGTTCTGAAATAAAGAAATTAGTTATATCTCAGCCTTTTCAAAATTTCAAAAAGTTAAAAATTGAGTACAAGCTGTGATGTGTGTTAAAAGAGAAAAAGAGAAAAAGTTCTGAGCAGGACAAAAGAGAGCTCAACTCTCTCTCTGGCATTTTGGATAAATTTGTGAACTGTTGTACAGTGAGCGCTGAACTTTTTCTGGAAGTAGTTCAAAAATGAGTTACAGTCTGTGTAACTTCATGCTGTTGTGTAATAGTTAAACCTCAGATATTTCTGGGTGAGGGGTAGAGGGTCAGTGCAAAGTAGGACACTGCTGAGGGCTTCAAGCTGTTGCAGAAGGTGGGGTTAGTGACCAGTTCCTCTGAATGAGCACTCCCCACTCTCACCTGGCTGGAGCTCTGTACCCAGACCAGCTGGTTCAGCTGGTTCAGCACAAAGGTGTGTTTAATGCTGCTGTGCTCTGCTCAAAGTACTTTTGTTTTCTATCCCTCTAGAACAAGCAGTGGGAAAAGTTCAGTCATTAATGCCATGCTGTGGGACAAGGTACTTCCTAGTGGGATTGGCCATACAACAAACTGCTTCCTCAGTGTGGAAGGGACTGATGGAGATAAGGCTTATCTTATGACAGAAGGATCAGATGAAAAGAAGAGTGTCAAGGTACATTTCTTAGATGATTTCATGCCAATTTTCACAGGAACTGACTCTTAAAGAGTGTTTTTTTAAACAACAGTTTAAAGTCCAACAAAAGTATAAGGCTCACTCATTCTGCATTTTTAAATTCTTATTTAGGAGGGAAGAGCAAACTAATGGAAGTGCTCTGCTGCCCAGTTTTCTTGGCTGTTCTAGAGAAACAACTAACGTGTGTTGTTTCATTGTAACATGGCATGTGTTGGGTGATTTATTTTTATAGGACTCAGTAAGTCCTGTTACTGATGAAGGATTTGGAATGTGCCCTTCATTCGGACTGATGGTGCTCATCTTAGTGAACTGTGTACACTGATTTGTTAAACCTCTGAGGCAAATTCATGATGATGCTCAGCAGCACTCAGTTCAGCCCTGTAGGGAACATTTTTGGCTCAAAAGAAACTCTTGTCTGAGTTTCAAGGCACAACTTGTTCTTTAGCTGCTGGTGAGTTGAAGAGCTTAAAGAAAAAAATCACAGCTATTCACCAGAACAAAGTATGAACTCTGTTACCCTCTTCAAGGTAGATCCTGTCCAAGTTTGCTTGAGAACTGAATTAGACTGGTTTACAGCCCTGTCTGAGGTGCATGTTCATGTCTGTGTTCTCTTTGATGCTCTCCCTAGACAGTCAATCAGCTGGCTCACGCGCTTCACATGGATAAGGATTTGAAGGCTGGCTGTCTCGTCCATGTCTTTTGGCCCAAGTCAAAGTGTGCCCTGCTGAGAGATGATTTGGTTATAGTGGACAGGTATCTCTTCTGTTTCAGTAAATATTTTCTTAAGGATATTAGCCATTACAATGCTTAGAAAAGAGATTGGTTTAGATTCATAATTCTTGAAAGGCTTTTTTGTTTGAAAGTACAGAGTTTGTTCTTTTTTATGTACTGCTTGTCATCACCCTCCTGTTTCTGCCCTTGTAGCAGTTGGAACAGATGGGTGTCTTGTGACTGAGCTGAAAAAGGGAATAGCTTTTGGCTGAGGATACTCTACCTTTAGAACAAGCACTATGGAAGTGTGAATAGGGTTGTTGCAGCAACAACCTTTTGCCCATTTCCTTTCTTGAAATGCTTCAGACTGATCATGTGAAGTATAAACAACGTGGACTTCATTTTTAAAAGCTTCTGATATGAGTTGCAGTGCCTACATACCAAAGTAATGGGTGACCTCAAAATGTAGTTTTGACTATGTCAGCTGAGTGTGCCCTGTGTTAGGCTGGCATTTCCTCTGTGTTGATGTGTTTAAAGAATTCTGGAAGTGGTTGTTTTGTCCATGCTAAATGCCCTTATTTCTGGCCACTGCATTAGAACCTACAGTAGCTTTTCAAACCTTCAGGTGATCTGTACCTGACATGTAAATCAATAAATACTGAATTTGTGAATAATTCACACAGGTGTCAGTGAATTTTTAAGTATGATTTCTTAAAGAAAACAACACTCAAGAATGTATTCTAATAAATTGCAGTGGTTTTTGTTCCATCTCTTGTACTTTGAAATCACTGGGAGTTTGTTATTATTTTCTTGGATCTGTACAGCCTCTGTTGCTACAGGGAAAAGAAAAGAGCATATATTCTGAGAGAGCAGGGATTTGAAAAGAGCAACTCATCCTTTCACTGTTAAATTGAGAAAATTTGAACCACAATCATTTAGGTGTTGCAAACATGACTTAATGCTCGTATTCCATTTAATGTTTTTTAAACAGATAGCACTACAGTTTTAACTTCATTTTGGTTTCTTCTTAAATCTCTGCACAGCTTACATAGCATATTGCTTTAAACTTGGACTTTATTAATGAAAAAAATATTTTATGAACTACAGTCTCTTCTGATTAAAATTAGGATCCAAGGAGGGGAACCATTGTGTGAGGCTGTCTGGGTTTCTGATGGACTGCCTGTCACTTCACTTGGCAGTTAATGATATGTACATACTTACTAATCAGAAATTGCATTTTGGAATGAATAGGTAGTCTAATGATCAAGTGTCTGATAAATTCCAGATGGTAATTGCCTTGTGCAGTATTTATCTTAAGCTTGAGGTAGGCATCAGCCTCGAGATACAAACCTCTGTAATTTCTTGCAAGGCCCTTAGGCATTTCCAATCTATTTTTATCAGTTTATAAAAACCAACTACTTCTTTGCTGTGTAAATAAGAGTTTGTGTGTTTTGTTCCCAACAGCCCTGGCACAGATGTCACTACAGAACTGGACAGCTGGATTGACAAGTTCTGCTTAGATGCTGATGTGTTTGTCTTGGTTGCCAATTCTGAATCAACTCTCATGAACACGGTATGATATGCAATGATTTTATGCTCCTTCTTCATTTAAATATTCAACAGTTCCATAACCAGAATAGCTGAGACCTTTACAGAAAGTGAATCACTGCACTTAGGTCTTGTGAATAGGACTTGAGGGTGGGAGGCAAGAAATAATGTATATCTCTCACTAGGAAACAGAAAACAAAATTTAAATTTCTGACTGGCTTGGCTTTCTCTGCCTTGGGCGTCATGATTGTCCTTTCCAGTTCAGTTGTGTTTTTGGTAAATGGATGATGGAGTGCTTGTCTTGCCTTGCAATTTGTTGGTATTTGCTACCAACAAAAGAAGACACTTGTGGACTGAAGACACTTGTATTATCAAAGAAATTAAGGAGTGTTTCATATCCAAAAATACTCCATAAATGCAGTAAAATACACAAACTGCCTGAAAGAAGTTGAATTCCTGTCTTGTTCCTCTCTCAGGAGAGGGTGAATTCCCTTGGCACACCTTGTGCTGAGGATGAGTGCTGCAGGTTCCCTCAGTGGGCTGTGTTTCTTCTGAAGAAGGTGTGAGCAATAAGGTTCTGTGCAGTGTGGAGAGCTGAAGATATTTTAATGTCTTTGTTCTGTAAAGCCTTGTTTCAGGAGACAGAAGAGTTCTCTGAACCTTGCAGCCTAAATATTGTAGGACTTGTAAGAGGAGGGGAGCATTTAAGGTGGCCAGAGCAGCTGTTGCAATAATCAAAATACAAGACCAGAAATTTGGTGTAATTTTGTAGTGATCTCCAGTTTTGACTAAACTAAGTATTGTGGATGCTGACAATAAAAGGTTTCCAAGCTATTGCCAGTGTGACTGCCAGAATGTAGAGTAATTCTACTGAGGGGATTCCTGATGATTTTTATTAAGCCCACTGCAGACAAATAATATGCTCTAGTTGTTCTGAGCATGGTTCTCACCTGAAAGGTGTGAACTTTCTAACTGTTGAGACAATTTTTAGTACAATAAAGAACTTAGTGTGCAAGGACAGTATTTCTTTGCATTCTAGCAAATTAGAATGGTTTAGCAGAAGTCTGAGAAGAATGCAAGTTTAAAAACCTTGCATTCCATCTTCTGAGCTGAGTCCACAAAGAGTCAAATACAAGAGATGTAGTTTAGAAGAAAAAGAAAATTCTTAAAACATTCCAGACAAAGGATTTGGCACTACTGTGGCCATGTCTTCTCTGTTATTCATGAGTGGCACTTTTAGGCTTTTAGTATGGACAAAACCTGTAAGTTGTTTACATTATGTGTATAACACAGCTGCTGGGGCCTTTTAATTAAAGGAAAAAGAAAAATTATTTCAGTGAACATCTCACTGCTGTGTAGATAACGTAAGTTATCCTGCAGATAAAGCTTTTGACAACTAAAAAGTTCTCATCCTCTTTAAGCATTGTTCTTGCCTCTTACCTTAGCAGGTTTGAGAATACTTGGCCTTATTCTACCACACTACCAGAGATTATTTTGGTGAAAACATGATAAGCATGATTCTTCTACTGTTCCCTTATAAATTCTCCTCAGACAAAGTTTTGATTTCTTCAGCAGTGATCTGGATTGCACATGCTTATTCCCAGCTGCTGGAGAATAATGGGTCTCCAGTGCTGTGTCCAGGATATGTTGTGGTGTCCTGCTGCAGGCTGGAAAAGTTTATGGCAGCACAGAGATCTCTTCTGTGTCAGCTTTGCTGAGTGGGGACTCCCTCCATCACGACTTACCCATTATGACTCTGTTAACAGCAATAATGGGTGGTAGGTGCAGCCAAGAGACCTAAATACACTTTCTTTTGTTAAATTAAGACATTCATCGATGACTTTTTTTTCTGTGTCTCAACCATATGTCCTCATGCAGGAAATGTTATTTCTCTGTAGTTCAAGCTGATCTTACCTAGCTGAGGTAAGATGATATTTTCTGAGGTTAGATGATATTATCTGGATAGAGAGCTAGATTTGACAGGGTTAGCAGGAGCCTCTTGGTAGTTCAGGTAAGGGAGATTTCATTGTTTTAGTCAGACATCAGTGTTTCTTGAACTATTTTGTGGAAGTTTTCTTAGTTTGTATTTTTACCAGTTTTTTAGGGAAAGTTGCAGTGTCTTTGACTAGCACTGGCATCAGTTTTAAGACATTTGATGACTTTTGAACTACCCTAAGTCTGTTATGTGCTGAATATCTGTGGGCTTTTATACTGATGAATTCTTTATAATAAACTTATAAAAAACTGGATTAACTTCAGAATCTGTTACAGAAGAATACATGACTCTGGTTTGGATGTCTGGGAAATTTTCTGTTTGTGCTTTAATTCTTAGGAGAAACATTTTTTCCATAAAGTGAACGAACGACTTTCCAAGCCAAACATCTTCATCCTCAATAACAGATGGGATGCTTCTGCATCAGAACCAGAGTACATGGAAGATGTGAGTGAATTGATGGCTCTTACATGGGTTGACAGTTAATTAATATGTATTAATATGGAAACACCAGCTCTGTCTTATTCATTAAAGGCTAAGTTACATGGTCAGAAAATGGAAATAACCTATTCCTCATTCAAACCAAAAAGTAACTTGCAATTCAAATGACAGTAATGCAGGCAATTAATAATATGGGAGACTTCTTTGGAACCTTTTTCCTCCACAGTTAAGCTTGTTTTTAATCTTTTTTGTATTACCTTTTGTTTCTGCAGTGATAGTGCAGCCTGAGGGCACAGTTTATAAATTTATACCTGCATAGAGTTGGCAGGGAAGGTGCAGTGTTGGATGGGAGCAGTTTGGATCTTCAGATCCTGCCAACAGCAGCCAGCTTGCAGTGAGAATTATTTCTCCATGCTGGGAAAAGAAGGGTTTACCCCAGAAACTGGCTGAGATCTCTGACTTACGTAAATGCACTTGTACAAGGAGGTATTGCTGTGTCCAGGTCTGTTTAAAGGAGTAAAAGCAGCTGCTGCTTCTGTAGGGTTGGCAGGCATCTGCTCTCAGAGGGTGGTTCAGCATCTGCTTGTGCCTCTGATGTTGTGATGTGCTCACAGCTCAGCTTTTGCCTTTTGTTCATGCGCTTTTTGCCTTCCCGTAGGTGCGCAGGCAGCACATGGAGCGCTGTCTGACGTTCCTGGTCGATGAGCTCAAAGTTATTGATCCTGTGGAAGCAAGGAACCGCATCTTTTTTGTTTCAGCAAAAGAAGTTCTGAGTGCCAGGACACAAAAGGCCCAAGGAATGCCAGAGAGTGGTGTGTAGCAACTCCTGCTTTTTCTCAAATACAGAAAAACACCATAAAACCTGATAAATGTGTTAAAGATGCAGTCCCTGCTGTGAGGTACTGCTGTCTCCCTTACAGTGTGTTGTTTCACAGGTGGAGCACTTGCTGAAGGATTTCAAACAAGATTTCAAGAATTTCAGCATTTTGAGCAGATATTTGAGGTATTTATGATGGACTTTCTAAACTGCCTGGTTTTTGTTGTAAAGGTAGCTTTTCCTTATGCTTAGCTTAATTATACTGAGCATTATCCATATTAGCAAGTGGAGGAGTGTAATGTATTTAAGCCATCTGCAGCTTTGCCTTCTCTGTGGGTTCTGTTCATACCTTCTCACCTTGAGTAGCAGGTAGTTGTTGGAAAGGAGAATTATATCAGTGAGGGAAGGGACCAAAACTCATAGCTCATGTTCTGAGATCTCAGGACCAATATAGTCTATGTAAGAAGAAATTATGGTCTTGAAACTTATGTATCACTTACAGCCATGTGCTGGTGAATGTTTGCAGTAAGAAATTTAGTTTCATCAATGTAAATCTAAAAAATTACTTTCATTTCTAAAGCCAGAGTTTTGAATCTATCACCATTATGTACCTCTTAGCTCTGTTCTGATCATTAACACTCTCCTTGCATCCTTTGTGCTGTACAGAATCCACCCTTCCACCTCAGTTTAGCCATTATTCATAGCTGGAGTTCACAGTTTCTACAGAAGTAGGACTGGCTAGACAGTTGAGTGGTTTCTTTATTATAGGATCCATTTTACTTGCTAAATTTGATAACTTTAATTAACTAAAGCCATTCTTGGATATCTTAAGGAAGCCTCTTGGGTATCCCTCAATGGTTTTGTATATGAGTATTTAAAAAAAAAATCAAACTGCCTCTGAAAAGTCTTTCTTGCATTACAACAAACCCATTTAACCTTAGCAGAACTGAATTATGTAATCATGTGTGTATTTGAGAAAGGCTTTAAAATAATAGCTTGATTTGGTCTTGCATAAGCAAGAAAAAGACTAAATTTAATCCTTATCCACACTCTTCTGATAGGTGACTGAAGTGTTGAAATGATGGGTGCAGGGTACTGGCAGGGCCTGGCCATGAGAAATGACATTTCTTGTGTCTCTAGCTGTAGTCAAACCTGCATGTCTTTTGCAATTTTTGTCCTCAGAACCATAGTAGGAAACTTTGAGCCAGCAGTGCTCAAAGGAAAACAGTGGAAACTGAGCTGCTAAATCAGTTATTGTTCTTTATTGTATTTTGTCATGTGCTGTACCCAAAGCTTTTTTGACAAAATCTCTTATAGTTACATTTAAGCACTCCACACTTAGAATATTTCAATAGGAAGATGGATGATGACTTATTAAATGATGTGATGCTGTGAGTGCTCAGCACATGTGTAAGTCAGCCCTCGAGCTGGCCACCACAATGAGAAATATCTGTCACAGGATCACAACCATGACAAGTTTCTGTAGCACAGGGAACAATTCTGTGACAGCACTGTATGGCCTTAAATCAACCTTTTTTCTTTTTTCCCAGTGTGTTACATTTGCTGCACACCTGACTCCAACAGTGAGAATAGTGGATTCTGTAGTGTTTTTCCCTGCTCAGCTGTGTTTTGTCCTAAAATCATTATTAATGGCTTTAAATAGGGTATGATCCCATAATTTAGAGAATGACAACTGTGCTGAATTAAGATTGCCAAAGCAATTTAAATTTTGAGCGCTTGCTGTTGCAGCCTCTTTCACATTCAAGTTTTGTGGCAGTTTTCTAAGTTACAGTGGAAGCTTATGTGCTTTTAAAGCAAGGCTGAGACTGAAATGGCTTACTAGGTGTGAAGTTTTCAGACCTGATACTCAAATTACTGTCACCTCAGCTGATAAAGTAGCTGACATCAGCATGCTGTTGTCATCAGTTCTGCCTGCCAGCTCTGGGCTCTGTATTAATGAGGAATCTCAGACTGCAGGGAGAACTTTCTGTGTGAAATCCTCACTGCTACCCTGCCTTGTGCACTGCCAGACCAAACTCAGATGCTTTGCAGCCCTGGGTGCAGCCTAAGCACTTTGCATTTACTCTGTTTCCTGACAGAGGAGCTGCAAGTCCCAGCACTGGGGTTACATTGCAGTGTGTGAAAAGGAAGGGATGAGAGCACAGATGCTTCTGTCTGCCCTCATCAAACACTGACTCCTCCTCTCCCTCAGTCTGTCTTGCCTTTAGCTCCTTGTCCTGTGTGGGTGCCCTCAGACTTCCCAAACATCTCTCAGAAATCTGTCACCTCACAGACCTGTCCACAATGTGCCTTGTTCCCCCTGGCTGTATCTGCTGGGTTTGCTCCTCCTGGATTCTCTCACCCTGCTTTTGTCATCACTAAAATTGGACAGCTTTTCCCTCTTCTCCATATGGGCTGAGAAGAGGAACTGTTACTTCTCCAGTACTTCCACATTCCTGATTTTAGTATGAGCTCCATGATGGGAAAGCCTGTTCATTCCAGGACTGATATGAGCTCGGTATAGATAGAATCTTTTAAAAAATAAATCTAGAAACAACCCACCAGTGCTAGTTAGTTGTGATATGAGAAAAGCTTGGACTAATTTTGGAAGGCTTGTAAGGGTTATGTAGACTTTAGTGTGAGGGCAAAAATCATTCTGAAACTAGATGAAACATGTTTGTCTGCAAAGCATAGGGTGGTTGAAGTTGCTAAAAAAAAACTGGTGCAGGCATTACTAGAAACACTTGTAAGCAGTGGGAAAATTAAGATTTTAGAGATTCATGTAGTAGCTTTAAAAAGTGATGCTACTATGTCAGCTGTATTACAACAAAGGAAAGGAGAGAGGCAGTTTTAAAAGTATTGAATTCTTGGATCAGTGCTGGATTTTTTATACTAGGGAATAATAGAAAATGGTCATTGTATTTTCCTGAAATTTTACACTGAGGTACACAGAATGCCTCATTAAAACAGCAGAGAAATGCCTGGGCCCTGCACTGTGTGCAGTAGTGCCTAGAGGATATCCTACATAAAACCAACCCCACCATGCCTTGGGCTGGGGTGCTCCTCGAGTTTCTCAGAGTGCTGGCAGCAGAATTGCTGTGGGAAGCAGTGGAGGAGGGAGGAGGGAGGAAGGGAACTCCTGGCTGGCAGGGCTGGGATGAGGCAGCGCTGCAGAGCCCTTCCCCAGCTCTGCCCAGGGCTGGGATACAGAGCACTCTGGGCACTAACAGTGTCCTGTGATGCTGGCACTGGCTAAGGTAACTGGTTTTGGTTAGACTCTTGAACCAGCTCATCTTGGTTTCAGTAAATACTTTGTACAGACTAACAGCCAAACTGCTGCTGTCCCCCTCCTATCTTTCCCCATCGTTTGACTAACCTTTGTGTTTTTCCTAGTGCTCTAACTTGGATTTTCTGATTGTGTTGTGAGTGATTGTCATCCTTTTATCTACCACATACTAATGTTGGGAAGACTCTGCTCTGTGCCTAGTCTAGCTCTTACAATGTGCTGATATTTAAAAAACTCTGGCCTTTCATTGCTGATTTCTAGATCTGCTTCGTCGAGGAACAGGGACTGTTTTACCCATTTTGTTTATTTTGTTTTCATCCATTATTTTTAGATAGCTGAGATTTGTAATTACAGCATATGCTAAGGTCATAGGCAAGTTTTCTAAAAGCCATCCAAACCTGTGCCATGAAAGGTGAATCCACAGATGGAGAACAATTTAAAAATCCCATTGGTCTGGTTTAAGGAAGTCAGCTGCTTGCTTTCTTCCCCTCAACCACAAGAGTTCTTCAGTCACTGTCCTGTATTTCTGAATTGCTCTTCAATGTTGAAGATTGATTAGAAATTGTATTGTTACTAATTTAACACTTCAATAACATGCAAACAAACTGATATTTTAAGGACTACTTAACTTTTATTTATCCCATGAGAAAACCCTTGTTTCTTATTCCTAATTGTATATTTTGTTCCTGGATGGTCAGTATTGACATGAGAATGTCAAATATATTGACAGAATTGTCTCTTGAAAGTAAGACTGTGTAGTGCAACAAATAAAACTAAAGCCAGCCCATATTGCTAGCATTCATATTTGACATTTGTAATTCCAAATAGATGGTTTTGAAAATTTCCTGAGGAGATAGATTTATCTTATGTATTCATCTGAGTTTTCTTTTTTTTTTTTTTCATTATTAATTTATTTTAAAAGGATGAAAACCTATGCACATTACTGTGAATGGACACGAAGGCAGATTTGCTGCTGTAGATTCATTTGAGATTTCAGTTTCTGTTGTCTTTTGATTTCTTTATACTTTCTCCCTTTTTATTTCCCACTGGTTTAAGTTCATGGTAAAATTGGCAGCATGTGCTTTCTGACAGTGAAATTCCTGATGGTGTTGGCATGGAATTGCAGTAATGTGTTGTGGCTTGGGCCCCTCGCAGGAGTGTATCTCGCAGTCAGCCGTGAAAACCAAGTTTGAACAGCACACTATCAGAGCTAAACAGATAATAGATACTGTGAAAAACATTATGGACACCATAAACGTTGCAGCAGCAGAGAAAAGGTAGGTGGGGTGGAGGGCTGGTTGGATTTGGTTTGTCCAGATCATCTGAGGAGCCATTTCTGGGCTGGTGATTTTCTTGGGCCATTATGGACTTTAAAATCCACTTTTTCTGATTGGTAAGAAACAGACAATTTCCCTGGTATGTCAATATGTCAGTCTTATCATTGTTCACTTGCTCACTCAGTTCTTTTCTTGGTCTGTGATTTCTGTACAGGGATCTTGGTTTACTTTGGTGTTCTTTTTTACTGATTTGCAATCTGTATGTTTTCAAGCCTTTTTTTCAGAAATAGTTAAAATGTTAAGTTTTTCTAGTGATATATAGCATTTCAGAGATGATGTTTAGGCCTACTCTACTTTCTTTAACAGTTACAGTGAAGAAGAAAAGTGGAAGGATGCAGATGCTTTAATTTGCAAGTGATTAGAATACTGTAAGGAATGATATGAGCCCAAGCTAACAGAGGCTTGGCCTCTGGCCCCTTCCAGATTGCATCCTTAAATATCCTTATTCTCTCTTCACTCATGTAATCCTTTAGTGCTAATGATAGCAGCTCATCTGTTCTGTCTGGTAGCTTCATGTATCCTTTGAGGTTTGCAAATGTGTGCAGTTTTTCCTCACTTTTGTTGCCACCTTGTGTCTCTTGTACACAGTGAACTTGCTGTCACGATTAATCCTTCCCATCCATCTCCTTCCTGCCTGTCAATAATGTGTCTTTGTGTTTCAACAGACTTCACTGTGCTGTCAAACACACTCATCCTCCTGAATATGTCAGTTTTTACAGACTGCCTGTTTACATACTGGCTTGTCTCACGTTGTCAGATCCCATGAAAACATGCTGTGAAATGTTTGAAAATATTCTGATATTCTGCTTCTTCCTGTCAGTTGAGTTAACCAAAATGTCTGTGGTGATGCCTCTTAGTTTGAATTGCTCTTTGTTGTTTCTGGTGGCCCTTCAAGAGGAAATCTCTCCAGGTTTTCAGGAATTTTTGCTTAAGGAATTCTAAAGAGACTCGTTTGTGCCAAGGTTGGTTTCTGCCACATCCCCTTTGCTTTGCAGGGTCATCAGACCAAGTGGTTGAGTGCTGTTTGTGAGCAGCACTTTGATCAGATTTACCCTTTTTGAAAATTAGGGTAGATGAGTTATTAAAGGCCTCTGATTCCCCACACCTTTTTTAGTTGTAATTATGTGACAGTACAGTGATGACAATTCTAACTTGAAATGCTGGTTTTGAGTTGTGTTTGCTCAGCACAGCCTTTGAATGCTTGTGCACATGGAGCTGCCATGTCCAGCCCTTCTTGGAGCAGTGCCTGTGCTTTGGGCAGCCGGTGTCACTTGGGATTCCCTGGGGCTGCTCAGAAACCATCAGCTGGCTGAGCCTGGTTAAGGGCTTGTTCCTTTCCTGGGGGAATACATGGTGGTGATGGTGATTTCTTTCTGCTGGGTTAGAGTCCAATCCATGGAAGAGCGAGAAGATCAGAAGGACAGGCTGGACTTTGTGAGAAATCAGCTGAACATTTTGACAGAAGACACCAAGGAAAAGATCAAACGTGTCACTGAGGAAGTTGAAAACAAAGTAAGGAAAGGCAGTGGGAACAACTTCTCACATCCAGGTGTGGCCTCCTCTCTCAGGCAGCTGCTTTTGCAGTCCACCCATCTCAGGAAATATGTTTGAAATATCAGAACACTCCTTTTTCAATTAAAAAGAAAAGAAAAAATGAATGCTTAAAATGGCAATCTTTGCTGACTGTCAGATGATTGAATGATTTCTTGGGGCAGTTCATGCAGTTGTCTGTTCTCACTCTGGAAAAGGTAGCAGAAACATTTTATGCATTTCCTGTGTTCTTCCAGGTCTCCTCTGCCATGACTGATGAGATTTGCCGGCTTTCAGTTTTAGTTGATGAATTTTATTCTGATTTCCACCCTTCTCCTCAAGTATTGAAGCTCTATAAGACAGTAAGTTTTTTTGAATGGTTTGAAGCCAGACTCTTTGTCTTTCCCTTAATTTCTACTTCGGTATTTTCATAAATTGCTGAGATTTTGTGACTTTGAGCATTGCAGGATTTTTGCTTGCTGACATGTGCATATCTCTACCCAAAGCTAAAAAAGGTTGAAAATATTTTCTGCTTTGTTTTTGGAAAGAAATTAATTTTTTTCAACATCTTTTTAGTAGTAGAGTGGTTCCTAATTTCAAGTCTTCACTTCCAGTAAATAAGACTTTGCATAAATAATTTTCTCTACTCCTAAAATCAAATATATCCAAAAATAAAATGAGCTTGCAAATACTCAGCACTTTTAATAAAAACTGGTTTGTTTTTTTTAATTTTATAAATTCCTTCTCAAACTTAGTGCTTTAAGTTAAAGCACATATAGCTATGTTTGCCCCTTGTGCCCAGACTTTGCTGGTGATGCTGACTGCCCTGGAGTCACAGAATGTTCTGAGGTGGAAGGGACTCACAAGGATCACTGAGTCCAGCTCTTACACAAATGGCTCATTTGGGGATCAAACCCACAACTTTGGTGTTAACAGCACCATGCTCCAACCAGCTGAGCTCATCCCAGGCTGTTGCAGCCTGGCTGATCACCTGGAGTGCTGCATTTTCAGGACAGTCTGTGCTGGTTCACCTCAGCAGAGTATCCTGAGCAGGCCCCCGTGGGAGTTGGTGGGATGGGTTTGTCCCTGTGCAGAGCAGTGGAATTGGCTCCCATCAAATGACACAGTAAGGGCTTTGCAGGGCAGTAGGTAGTGGTTTGCTTTGCACTGTCACAGTGAAAATTACAGACTTCTGTGCCTTTTAATGTTTACAGTCCTAGGGAAATCTCTCCCATGTCACTTTAGTTAGGTTTTCAGCCCCAGTGTGCAGTTGGAAAGCATGGTATTTCCATGGAAACATGCTTTTCTTCCCACTGTAAATAACAGTGCTTAGTGTGTAACATATTCCTGCCCCATATGATGTAACTGATTGGCTAAACACAAACTGATGAGCTTGTGTTCTTTGTGGCACTTCAGGAACTGAACAAACACATAGAAGATGGTTTGGGAAAGAACCTGGCTGAGCGCTGCTCCAGTGAAGTCAACCAGTCAATGCACCAGTCCCAGCAGGAGATGATTGGTAGGAGGAGGGAGGAGGAATGGTAACACTTCATATTTAAAGGAAGACAATCTAAGGAAATTCAGTTTTAAAGGAATTTTCCTTCTGATCATGCCTAACATTGATGCTATAAAGGATAAAAGAAAAGCCATGATAGACCAGGACTGAGTGTTTAGCCCAGTCCCCTGTTTCTGATACTAACCAGTAATGATGCTGGGGGAGAAGAATAATGAACCAAGGTAAATATAGCAATCCCTGTCCATTTTATGGACTTCTGAGCTGGTACACTGCATCTGGATTAATGGCTTAAGCAAGTAGTAATGGACCTGTCCTTTGGAAACTCATCTAATCCTTTTATAAACCCATTTAAAATTTGGCTTCAATGAGAGACACACCAAATGCACTAATTATTAGAAAGTGTTCCTGCAGTATAATGCTCTCCCTAGGTTCCTCCAGACCTGGAAAACAAAACAGTTTATTTCACAAAGGATTTGTACACTCCCCTTTTTTTTTCTTTGTAAGTAGTTAACTTCATTGCACATCCATCTCTATTGGTCTGTTCCTGGTAATAAAAGATTCAGAGTGAGGTCATGGAATTACATGAACCTTTCTGTCCTCTTATGTAATAATGTTGCCTTTTCTGTGTGGCACCATGGAACAGATGGATAAATGGATTTTTTCCCTTACTCCATCCCTATCTTTTGATCAGTGGTAGAGGTCTTTTGGTTTATTCGAGCCTTTTTTTCCAGCAGTGAGTTAATTTTCATGACTGTTTTCTTGTATTGGAGCAATAAATTCCCTGCTCTGTTAGGGTCAATCCTGATGAAATGCCAGTGATTTTACAAATAAATAAATAATGAACTGACCAGTTTAGATTCTCTGAATTGATAAAGCTGCTCAGCAGTGCAGAGATACTGCTTGTGAATATGCTCTTCTTCTAATGTTAACTCAGCTTTACTATTTGTTCTTATTTCTAGAAAATCTGAAACCATTGTTGCCTTCTAGTGTTCAGGATCAGCTCCACTTGCTAATTCCATGCAGGAAGTTTGATCTTAGCTATGATCTAAACTGTCATAGCCTGTGTGCAGATTTTCAAGAGGATATCATGTTCCACTTTTCTTTGGGATGGACTTCTCTTGTAAACCGTTTCTTGGGTCTTAAACAAGCTCAGAAAGTACTCCAGGGATTAGCAGATCCAAACCTACATGTGAGTCCTTCAGAGCTTGGGCTGCTTTGTTTTACCTTGATGAGAATATATTGATTTTTCCTCTGTGCCAATGCTATTTACACACTTCCTGCTACCTTTCCCTAGATCCATTGTGTGAGATATTTTTGGTGTGGGTTGTTTTTATTGGATTATATTCAGGGTTAGAATGGAACTGAAAACCTCTTTTAAACTTTCTGCAGCTGTTACACAAATTGGTTTTCCTTTGGCTTGAATCCTTTGAGTAGCCTATTCCATTTGTAATACTTGGATCCTTGGGTCAGAACCAGCCCCACACAGACCCTTTTTCTCTCCTCAGGAGTTTTGTGCAGATTTCACTGCTGAAGGGTTTCCTTCAAGTAAATCAAAACCTGAATATATGAAAATAAACCCCATCTGTGTAGTTCCCTGATGCTTTTGACTCAGGCTGTTCCCATCTTCCAGATCCCTCGTCCTTTAGCCAGCACCCCGTCTGCCGCCAGCCTTCCCGCCTTAACTCCCGACAGCGTGCCCCAGGAGGAGTTCATGGTCCCTCTGGTGTTGAGTTTAGCCTCGCTGACGTCCCGGACCTCCATGAGCATCATCATTGTTGGTGGAGTGGCAAGTAGCACATTTCCTGCTGGAAGGGGTGGCAGAGGCTGAGCTGCTCTGTCCTGCCTGGGCTGTGACACAGAGCGTGCCATGGACTTGATGCTGGGCCAGATGAGCCTTGGATACTCACAGTCAGTTCATAGTGAGAAACCAGGCAGTCACTCTGAGGATAGCTGGGTGTATTCTCTGTGCCAGAAGTCTGTGTTCAGTGCCTGAATTAAATGGGGATCTGATGGTACCTCCTTCACTTTGAATTTAGTTGGAGCTTTGCTTCTTCATGAAGAGCATCAAGCTTCTGTAACCTGCACATTCTCTGGGCCATTGGGGACCAGCTCATGTTAATGTAGCTGTATTGCTCTGCACCAATTATACGGAAAACATTAATTTCTTAAACAAGTCCCATGAAAGGGCTGTGGAGATGATTTTTTAAAAATGGGCAAAGTTAGCTTTTATTCCATAGGGCACCTTATTTAAGCTAACGAAGATTTTGTTTTTCAGATTTGGAAAACCGTAGGCTGGAAACTGATCTCCTTGTCACTGAGCATGTACGGGCTGCTGTACCTGTATGAGAGGCTGACCTGGACCACCCGGGCCAAGGAGAGAGCCTTCAAGCAGCAGTTTGTGAACTACGCCACCGAGAAGCTGCAGATGATCGTCAGCCTCACCAGTGCCAACTGCAGCCACCAGGTGCAGCAGTAAGTGTCACACGGGCTGGCCCCTCACTGCCACAGGACTTGTGGTGTTTGTGAGGCTCCCCAGGGCGGGGTGAGAGATGAGAATTTCACTCCATGTTCTCAGAAGGCTGATGTATTATTTTAGGATATTATATTAAAAGAAATGAAATACTAAAACTATACTATAGAAAAAGAAAGGATATATCAGAAGGCTTAGCAAGAGTGGTAATGAAAGCTCGTGACTGACTCCTCAGAGTCCAACACAGCTGAGGGTGATTGGTCATTAATTAAAACCAATTCACATGGAACCAATCAAAGATGCACCTGTTGGTAAACAGTCTCCAGACCACATTCCAAAGCAATCAGATAATTATTGTGTACATTTCTTTTGTGAGGCTTCTCAGGAGAAAAAATCCTGGTGAAGGGATTTTTCAGAAAATACCATGGTGACAGGCCATTGTCACTGGCCCTGCATGAGGGCACCTCTATTGTCCCTTGGCACTTAGTGGGAGGGGGTTTGAAGAGAGTTTAAAATGCCCACCTGGAAAGGCCAATACCTGCATCTCTGTGTGGCTGTGTGTGGTGCTCTGAAGATGGTGACTCTTTGTCCAGCCTCTTACAGTAGAGACATGAGAGATCATTCTGGGGGGGCTGAGTTGTTCTGCCTTTGGAGTCCCTGGAAGGATGAGCAGAGTTTCTGCCCCAGGGGCTGCTATGGGCAAGTTCTGAGCAGCCAGTCCTGGCTCTTCTGCACTGCAGGAGATGAACTTCACTTGCCTTTCTGAACTATTTCCTGAGCTACACAGGAGAGGTGTTCTGCACCCTGTGGGCTAGAGGGTGCATTAGCAGCCCTAATTTTCTGAAATAATATTAAATTCAGTAAAAACACATAGTTCCAAGAAGAAGCTAAGGAACTTAATCAGCCAGACATTACTTGGCAGAGACAAGTGGGAAAGTGTTTTGGAAAGAGAAAACAAAAGGAACAGTAAAAAGTTTTGCTTTAGTAGAGGAAATAGATCCATCCCTGTGTCCAGCAGCTCTGTGAGGACATGAAAGAGCTGCACTCAAACCCTGCTCCAGTAGAGAGGAGAGGGTGCTTCATCTCCTGCATGAGAGCTTGGGTGCTGGGCCCAGGCTGGTAACTGGGTTTGTTTGCCCTTTGTGTGAGGAGGAGTCTTGGAGCAGGTTGGGTGGGCAGGTCTGGAGCACTCCTCCCCCTGCACAGGGCTCAGGTTCCTGTGAGCAGGGCTCTGAGTGTGGCACAGGGCGCTGAGCTTGGCAGTGTGGGGCTGCTCTGGCACCTCCTGCCACAGCCAGAGCCCCATCTCAGACGTGCACCTGTTAATGTTCTGTGGAAATGGCCAGGCACGATGTAGGCATGGACTGAGTGCATTTGGTGTGTTGAGGGTTTCTTTTTCTAGTTTAAAAAGTACCCAGTTCTCCTGCTTTCTTCTCTTCTGTACTCCCATGCAGAAGGAGGCTTTGATTGCTGTGTCCTGCACCCTGCAATGCCATGAGATTTTATTTCTTAGCGTTTTTTAGCATAAACTTCTGTAAATCATGATTATAAACTTGTTCTCGCCTTAGGGAAATGGCCACTACTTTTGCTCGGCTCTGTCAGCAAGTGGATATTACTGAGAAAAACCTGGAAAAAGAAATAGCTAGGCTTTCCAAAGAAATAGATCAGCTGGAGAACATACAAAGCACCTCCAAGCAGCTGAGGTAAGTCTTGGTGTGACTGGCCACAAGCATCTCTTAGCCCTGCTGACTTCAGAGTGGTCAGTGCTTGCTGTTACTCTGGAGTTGAACTAGGTTAGTTCAGGTGCAGAAGGAGATGCAAAGATAGCCTGAACAGCTCTGGGTATGTTAAATAAATGGATGCTGCTGCCTCAGTGAATCAGCTAACCTCCAAAAATATTATTTCTTAGATCATCTTTACCCTTGTCTCTCTTTAGTGGGGGAGACAGGCGTTTCACCAGAATTTTAGTCTCCTGTTGGTAACTTGAGGGTGGCACCTTCCCAAAGCCCCTCCCCAAGCAGAGCAGGAGAGCAGCTGTGCTCTTTTGAGTCATCCAGTGCAGTACTGGTGGTGCCAGTGTTGGCAGAGGAGGAACTTCCAGCAGTTGGTGGTTCAGGGACTTGGAAGCAGCCTCAGCTGTAGTTTCCTGATCTTTCCACCTCCTGAAAGGCTCCTGTGGCTCTGGGCTGGTGCCTGCTGGCCTCGGGCATCCACCACCACTGATGGTGAACATCTGCCCCCACACACCCCTTCTAAAAACCTGCATTTATGTTTTCTTGGTGCTGGAGGTGTGAGTAGATGAATAGAAATGAAACACTGATATTGATCCTGCCTTTGAATTGTTCAGGCACTGAAGTGAATCCCTTGCTTTTGTTTGTTTTACAGAAATAAAGCCATTCACCTCGAGAACGAACTAGATCGCTTCACAAAACATTTTCTTCAAAAGAGTAAATAAAACATCATTGTGAACCTTCCCGGTGCTCCTTTGTAGGGCAAAGTAGAGATTTTACAGGTGACACTTCTATTCTATGAAAATGATTTCTATTTTTAATGTTACTCTGGTGACAGTTGCTGTAAAACTTGGACTCTGATGGTGAACCAAACGGTAGAGCTGTGGTACTCTTGAGTGTTATGTTCGTTTTGCAGATTTTGGGTTAAAAATTACCTTTGAACACTAAGTTTTTTGGGCACTTGACAATAAAACCCCAAATCCTCACTGGTTTTCATGAGTATGCAGCAGTGGCAAGTCTCACTTCCTGGCATCCAGGACCTCAGACAGGAAACGAGCTTAGCCCAGCCTCCTGCTTTCAGCTGCTTAGGAATTGTCCAGGCATGGAGGGTGCTGGTTTTCTGTGTGGGTGTGACTTTGTTTAGTGAAGGGAAGTACAAACTGTGGCACTGGAAAGAACTCTTGAGATGTATGGAAGGCAGGTGCCAGTGTGCTAGCCTTGAGCCAAGAGGGCACTGATGCCATGGAAGTGAACCTGTTTCTGGCAGTGGGTAGAGCAGTGATGTGGTCCTTTGCCTGTGAGCACGAGGCTGGAACCATGGTCAGGTGCTGAGCTCAGGTGTGTCACAGCCCCAGCTCACAGCAGGGTGTGCTCAGATGGTCTGGGCACGGTTGCTGCAGATTGAGAAGGGGCTCAGGGTGCCAGGAGGGACCTGCAGCTCCTGTTGCTGCATTCAGGGAGCAGGACATGGTGAAACCCCATCCCTCCCTCCCAGCCCCTCTGCTGGAGAACAGGTCTGCTCTAGGTCAGACTCCAGGCAGCTGTGATGGAGTCTTTGACCTTTGCTCAACTACAGCAAAGCCTCTTTAACAACCTTCTGCTGTTGCTGACTGCAGTCATTCAACATCTACTTTTTTCTAACTAGACTTTTTAAAATTATTTTAAAAGAAAGGCCTTTTCAGAGTATTTATATATTTTTATGGCAGTGTTAATATTGACTAAGTTAATGATTGAGCTCTAAGGTACAGGAGTTTGCTATTTTCAAGTAACTAAGGGCTGTCTCATCAGGAAATAGATGTAAGATGTAATGCTAGAGGCATTAAGGGAAGACAGCACTTCCACCAGTGTGTTCAGGTGTTTGTTCTGACTGTGCATGGGGAGTCCTGGGGGTTTGAGGGTAAGTGTGGAATCTGCCCCTGAGAAACAGCCCAGCCTTGGTGTGGTGAGGGCAGAGCTGTGTATCAATGCTCTGTTTGTGGAGCATTTGTATTGATGTTTGTATCAAGATGAAACTTTCAATGCATGTGTTCTACAGTTATTTATTAAAAAAGTCCTACCCCTGTGCTCTAGTAAGTTCTTTGGCAGCTCTGTCCCACAGGTATTGCAGAGCCAGGACAGGGCCCAGCTGCTGCTGTGTGGCTGCTCCATCCCCAGCCCAGGAACTGCTCTAATACAACACTGACAGCTGAGCCAGGCTGGTTAAAAGCACTTGTTTATTGGTTACAATATCAACTCATGGCAACATCTTTCACTGAGCCACTGTACAAATACAAAGAAAAAGATCCATCGTGGAAAAAAAAAGCTATAAACAGAGTTCATAGCAAGTGATTTTTTTGTCACAGCGAAGTCTTTTTACAACAGCACTGTTAAAGAACAAATGGCACAAGTCCCTGGTTTTTTAATAGCTTAAATAAAAGCCTTAAGACTGTTTCTGAATACATACATAATCCAAAGGCAGTGCAGAATCACTTCATAATTGGTAACATTACCAAAGTTTTCCAAAGTAGTCAGCAACAAGTAAAAACAAAACAAAAAAAGCTGATGAGAGATGCTGGGAACTAAAGGCAAAGTAAAATTAAGCATGTTTAGAAGCACTTTGCTTTGGACTCCTTTGGATGTAATATGTACTACAAGTGTTCAGATGCTTTTATTTAAAAAAAAAAAAAAAAAGAAAAACACAAAGAGAGCACCATTGTGTAAGTAAAACAAAGGCTTGAAATACCTAAGACTATTCCACCGAAGTCCATATTAGTTAAAACCTAAACATACTGTGTGGTATAAGAATGTCAGGCACATGTAATCTGTTATCAGTTATATCAATTAGTAACACTGTTCACACATTTACCATAACAACACTGCATTAACATTCTGCATGTATTTTACATAACCAGCAATTGGATAAAAGGCTCTGGTGCCTCTGAAGTGTAGGAGGAGTGTGACCAGCATGCATGCCAGAGTACTGGATACACAGTGCACCATCAACCCATGCTAAGTACTTGGACAGGAAATGCTATCTCAAAACCAGCCATTCTGCTACACAACCATTGATACCAACTAGTCTGATTAGCCAAAACTCTCACCAACATCTTAAAGCACAGCACTAAACCTAGTGGAGGTGACAGTGTCCCCAGAGAGGACAGACTACAACTCTGGGAATGTTTTCACAATGTTTTCATTCCATCTTAAAGTAATTAATGTGAACTTCATCAAAGGATGAGCAGTTACAAAACTGAAGCCCATGCATTACAGGAAGGACCCACTGAGACCTGCTGCTGCTCCAGCTCAGCTTTGCCAAGGCAAGGTCAGGCCTGTCCTGGGGCAGGAACAGCCTCTTTAATGCACGTTCCCTTTGGAGTGGCACAAATCCTGTCAATCCATGGAGCTGTCAGCCCTGCCAGCCCTGCCATGGCTCTGCAGTTCAGCACAGCAGAGGACAGCAGTGTGTGGAAGGAAAAGGGCTGCAGGCAGATGGAACCAGGCCACACTACTGAAGTGCATGAGCAAACATCAGCACGAAGCCACAGCAGCTTTCTGTGGTTTCCAGAATCTCAGACTGCTTTCTCCACCAATAAACAGCCATCCAAGGCTACATGGGAACAAGCCCAGGCTGGGCACTTGCCTGAAGGGAGAACTCTCTATTGGAAAGTTAGATCACATTAGAAAATGCTGACAAACTCTACCAGAATAAAATAAACCTTGTTAGATCAAGCACATGGTTCTGCTTCCCGAGCCGTAACAGATTGCCTTAAAAGAGAGGCTGGGCAGGAGCTGCTCTGCCACTGTTTGGCACAATGCTCTTGGTTACTACTCCAGTTCTGTAATGACACAACTTATCTGAACTTCAGCTAAGGATGTAGCCTGGCTACAAACCTTTAAAGCCAGTGAAGATGTGCCCACTCATGCTGCAGGACCTGCTGTGAGCAAGTTTGCTGTCATGGTGCAGTCACACAAGCTGCACACCTGGGCCCACACCAGTGTCTCTGAAATTCAAAGCTGGGGTAAAACCTATCAAGGGTCATTTCATTACCTTCCTTCTTTTAGGAGGAGTTTGAGCTTTTACCATAAAAGCCACCTCCACTTGAGCTGGGGCACTGACCTCCAGAGGTCCCTGCCAGCCATTTAAAGAAGGGAATGCCACAGCCTGAGTCGTTCTGTGGCATCACACAGTACCTGTGGTACTGGAACCTGCAGGCTTGAAAAACAACCCACAGCCAGGGCAGGAACAGCAGCCACCACCTGGGCAGGATCTGTCACAGCTTCCTTCAGGCTCCAAAGCTGCACCAGACGCCGATTCCCTGCTGTGCTCAGGCTTCTCCCAGGTCTCGTGTGCTGACAGCAGAGCCCCTCAGGCCCGGGCTGAGCGAGGAGCAGAGGCAGGCAGAGGAGCTCTGTGATGCTGTTGGACACCTCAGCAAGTAGTTGGCATTCCTTAGGATTTACTTTAAAAGCAGCTGAATCCAAGAGGCAACAGCCATCCAACAATGACAGTGAAGTTATTTGCAGTAATACCTGTACAAGAGCCATTACCACTGTTACAGGCTACCTGAACTGGTAAGAAAAGTTATATACAGCTGTAAAATTGGGTTTGGAGTTTCACAAGTAGAAACTAGTTTTAATACCAGAATGTAAAAATGGCACCTGTCTCGGCAAAGGTGTTGACTAGGAAATTGGTTCAAAACACACTTCTATGGAAAACAATTTTTTTAGAAAAAGAATATTTTCTTAAAATTCCTTAGTAACAAATTTCCAGAATGATTCACTCAAGGCAGCTGTGAGATAAAAAAAATAATCAAGTGCACCACTAAAAAATAAACTGAGTCTGCAAGATCCCAAAGAGCTGCTCACTTAAGAGAGTTACAAGAATTCCATAATAGTTCTATAAATGCAGACAGATCACAAAGCAAAACACTGAGGAATTCCTGTGAGACACAATACAGTGGGATTTTGGTCCTACACCACAGGCTGCTGTTAGGAAATGTTCCTTCTCCAGTATAAGAAGTGCCTTTTTCTTATTTTAAAAGTGAATTTACCGTGATTGACTGGCACATTTATTGGCACCTTCACCATTATAGACATGGTGAGTTTACAGGCACAGTCTGGAAGTACTGAAGTTTAGGGATTAAAAAATGTCAGAAACTTGACAGAAGTCATCTCAGCCAGAAATCCATTTGGATATACTACAGGATTCTGGGTCCTTCTCTTTCCTACCTGACCCAGAGACACCCAGACTCCCCATCAGTTCCAATGAATGACAGCTAGCATCATCTTCCAACCTGGTGATTTAAAATTCACGTTATCTTTAAAATAAGTCACTTAAGAGAAGCCAATAGACTTAATCCCCCATTCCAAAATAGCCAGAGATGTTCAGATTCCCAAGGGAACATCCACTGGAGTACAGACATGCTGCCAGGCACCAAAAAGTTAAGCATCCTCCCTGGGCAGTTTCAAATGGGCATCAGTCCCATGATTTTCCTGTCTCTGTACTGAACTGTACTTGGTGAGATTTCTAAGCAACTGACAGCAAAATCAGAATGAAATCAGGAAAGGAGCAGGAATGGCCATTTATGGTGTTGGAAGTGCAGAATATCTGGCATCACGAAACCCCCATGGCACAGCCCTCAGAGAGCACACAGAACAAGCACATATCCTCAGGGTTATGCTGGAAGTTTTCAGGGGTCACACAGGTGCAGTTAAGTTACACAATTCCTTTGGTAATTCACACTGCACAGAACTAACAACAAGCACTTTTGGCTGTGGTGTGCTTTGGCAACCCCTGAATTTGGAGGGGAATTAGAAGCAATTAACTGCACAGTTAAATCCTCTTCAGGAATTTAAGCAAAGTCCTCCTGAATTTCTCAGTTGGTGTGGAACAAGCAGTCTCTGCACACACTGCTCTGGGCTCTGAGCAGCAGCCAAGTCACTGTGAGTGCACATCAGCTGGAGCTTGTGAGCAGCCAAAGCCACACGTGTGGCCAGAGCTGAGCTGGCCACAGCACTCGGCCACTTGGCTTCTGTACCCACGGACTGCATGGAATAACTGATGCAAAAACCTGCAGGGAGGAAGCTAAAACATCTGGATTTACTTTATTTTCCAATTATTACTGCTCTTGGTGCAAGTCTACCTGGCATTAACTCCTTGGTGTTTGGAGGTCATGACTGCCAATGGATGAACCAGGAACCACTGGCTTGAAGGAAGAACCCCCTGATCAAAACCAGGCAAGCAGGTCAAGAAGTGAGTGAATAAGGCGGTAGGTATTAACTGGGAGTCTCCAGGGCCTTAAAAAAAAATTCAAATGCCTTCCATTATAAAAAACACATACATACCATTGGCTTCACTTTATCTACAGTAAATTCACAAAAACATTTAAAACAGCAATCTAGTTCACCCACTACAAAACTCAGAAGTGACATCTCAGGTTAAAAGCAAAGCTATAAATGTAGTTCCATAAAAAATGCAAACATATTTCTTTACATACAGACAAATGTTACATGATTGGCTGCTATAATGTGTATATTCTGTTATGTACAAAAAAAAGTACAGGATTAGCAGACTGAGCACAAGCAAAAACCCTTCAAGGACAATCTAACCAAACCACCAAAAACAAAAAGACTGGCTCTTAGTTTGTCGGTCACCATGATTATGTGTGCTGGCCCCTTTTAAAAAGTCAGTGATTTCTTCCCCCCTCCCCTATTTCTTCACTTGATTTTTTTTTTCTAGTTTACAGAAAGCCTTTTTTGTGTAATAATCAGTGAATAGAAAAACTTCACCTGCAAATACAAGGTAGAAATGTTATTTCACAGCTATAGGCTGCAGCATTGATCTCTCCAGATCTCAAATGGAGAATGTACATGTTTGGCTCCCAGTTAATTCCAGATTCTGAGAAAACTGTCCCAAGACCCTGTAGCTACAGCCATGCCGTCATCAGTAACACCTAAACAGCTGACACGGTTGTCATGGCCAGCCAGGACACCTGGAAAAGAAGAAGCAATGGAAGTTTAGTGTCTGCAAGATGCCAAGGACTTCAGTTGTTACTCTGCTCTCCCAAGTAAGTCTTAATTGTACTAAAAAAGGTACAATGCAAGATCTTCATTCTCCTTTTTGTCTTTACTCTGAGGAACCATACAGACTATAACAGCCTTATCAAAAAACCCAACAATAAGGTATGTAAAAATATCTACACACAATATTGCCTCCATTTTTCTCTCTGCCCTTATGACTTCTCCTTTCTGCCCCATAGATGTCTTCCCTGATCTGGCTCTCTACTGGTTTTTTCCTGTTTTCTACAGTGCTGTCCACAATTTCAGCCATCAAGCACTCCCAAAATCCAGTGTGATGTCTCCTTACAAAGTCCTGGATGCATTAACTACCTTGAGTTTCCCAAGTTTTGCAAGCCCAAGGGATTACAAATCCCCTGTATATTGTGACAAACAGAAGAGCAGCACTAGCCTGCCTCCTTCCTGCTTTGGTTCTGTTTTCTCTCTAAGTCTTCTTGCCCTTTTCTGCTCTCCCAAGGTTCCCCATCCAGGTGTAGTAGAACTAAGGAAAAGGATTTATTTCCAGTCTGGACAGCAGAACTGGTGTTCAGAACTGAACCAGGCCCAAGCATTTAAGTTACTGTAAGAAGTGAGAAAGAAATAGCTGTGCTATAAAGCATGCTGTGTCCTGACAGAAGTGACTGATTCAAGGACCAGAAGTTTCCACTTTCCCTTTATCTCAACAGCAGGGAATGCAAAGCCAAAAAGACTCCTGTAGCTACATCTGAATTACTGCCACTCATGGGTGCAAAATACAATGCAAACGTGTAATTTTGCACTACTTAATCCCATACACTTTAGTGAAATATATTTTCTGTAGATGCAGTTTTGGAGGGCATTTCTCAGCCTCAAGAGCTGGGATCTCCCAGCACACAGATCTGGAAAGCCCAAGAACAGGCCTGTTCTCCTGCCTCATTTACTGCTCACACCATGGAGATGGAACTGAAATGCAATGTGACTTCTGGAAGACAGATGTAAGGATGCCATTTTGAGAGAATCCAGCAGATCCACAGCAGCAGCACCAGCCCTGGCAGCAGCCTGGCTCTGCAGCACGCAGGGGCTGTGGCCGTGTCCTCACCTGCCCTCTCCCCTTTGAGGGTGTCCCAGACGTTGCAGTTGAAGTCGTCGTAGCCGGCGAGCAGGAGGCGGCCGCTCTTGGAGAAGGCCACGGAGGTGATGCCGCAGATGATGTTGTCGTGCGAGTACATCATCAGCTCCTGGTCCGCGCGCAGGTCGAACAGCCGGCACGTGGCGTCGTCAGAGCCCGTGGCGAACGCGTGGCCGTTGGGGAAGAACTGCCAGAAACGTGGGGGTGAGACACAGGAGCTCAGCACCAAAATGTACACTGGTCATGCTGGGCTGAGCACAGCACAGGAGTGTTTCACCAGGCAAAGGCAGAATGGTTTATTTCATTTCTGCATGTTGGAAAACGCAGGTACGCAGCTATGCAAGGGAACACCTCTGGAACACACTGGGGACACCTGAGTGACTGGAATTACAGCCAGGCAGCTCCTGGGTGTGCTGTAAGAGCAGCCACAGGGGATGCCACTGACTCCTACAAAATGAAGCAAACCCCAGCTCTGCACATCCTGGCTGAAGTGGAACACAGTGTTCCATCCTGAGCTGGACAGCCAGGTTGGCTCAGCCAAGACAAAACACTGCAAACAAGCAATTCAATTTCCTAAAAAAATCTATTCCAAATCCGAGTTATTCTCTCAACAGCAATATTGATTGAAACGGGAATGGAGAGAGCCCAGCACATCTCAGGGTTCAGGTCTAAGTATAGGAACTGCATTTCTGTACTGGTCATGTGCTTGGTATTCTCTCAGCCTTAACAATTTTTCATGTTTATCAAAAACAGATGCAGCTTCGACTTAGATTTCTTTCTCTATTTACCAGAGCCTGGATCTTGCAGATCAGAACATAGCGTTACTATGACAGAGGGGAAATATAATCCACTTTCTAAATATTACCATATTATTCCAGGGAATATTCAATATCAATACTAATTTTAATTGCCTTCCAGAATACTTCACTGAAAGCTCTTTTTGTTCAACAAAAAAACTTTAGGATGAGTATGCTTGGCTGTGTTTTACTCTCTCAGTATATTGCATTTATCTACAATTTCCAGTTTTTAACACATTGCCATGCTTCAAGAAGTTTCCCTAGTCCATTCTTTACTTCTTAAAAAAAGTGATGTCTCAGTTACTGAATAAAAACACAAGGGAAACTATTCCAGGAACAGCGCAGTGCATCACAGATAATGGCAATAATAATTCAGTTACAAAGTAGATTGTAAGTTATTACACAACCTTCTCCATTACATACAATTTAACATTCTCTACCCTAACTAATTGATTTTAAATCAAGGCAGCTCAGTAGACCCTAAGCTGAATTCATGCAAATGTAGCCTTTATCCTCCCCCTTTCTTCCCACGTGGGAGCAGGAGGCTCACTTACACAAACTGCATTGATGTCTGACACGTGCCCCGTGAAGGACTGCCTGCACATCCCATCGCGGATATCCCAGAGCTTCGAGGAGGCATCGCAGGCGCCCGAGACAAAAGTCCTCATGTCTGGGCTCAGAGAGAGGCTCATCACATCTCCAGTGTGCCCCGTGAACGTGGTGGTCTGCTGGCCAGTTTCTATGTCCCACAAAGCACTGCAGATGAAGTTAACACAACGTCTGTCATTATTTCAGAGTTCAAATTTTAAACAGAAATTAAGGCACTGGAGAGAAAAAAAAAAAAGGAAGAAAGAGGGGGTGGGAGAAGGTCAACAGAGCTCAAAAACTCACCAAGTGGTGTCTCCTGAGCTAGTGACAATTTGGTTGTCATCTAGGAAGCGACAACAGGACAAGTATCCTAAAAACAAAACAGCTGTGTAAGGGTTTGACCCAGGAGTAACAACTGAAGGTGAAAATGCCAGAACAGCAGCCAGGCTGTGGCACTCAAGCAGAGCTCAGGCAGTGCCCAGCCCCAGGCAGGGCTGCTCCCCTTGGAGCACTGACCTGTGTGGCCCGGCAGCTCGCGGCTCACGCGCACGTTGCCCTCCCTGGTTTTCAGGTTGTAGATGGAGCAGATGTTGTCCAGGCCCCCGCAGGCCACGTAGTTGCCCGAGGGAGCGTAGGCACAGGTCATCACCCAGGAGGACCTCAGGGGGATGGCGTGCATCTGCAGAGACACTGCTGCCTCAGAGCACACCCAGGGCCAGGGGCACCCCAGCCCATCACACCCAACCCATGCATTTTACACACCCACAGCTCCTGGGGTGACAGATACAGACCTTCAGTAGGTTATTTCATAGCAAAGCTATTGTAAACTTAAACATTTATGATCCTCGTTTATTCTAGTTAAGATTTCTCTGTCCAACTTATTTGCATCTTTAAACTGTAGGTTGTTAGACAGGATGGCTGTTCCCATGGAGACTGCATGGTTTACAGAAGCACAGCTCCACTCCACGCCACCTAAGCTTTTCCCTAACAGCTGTTTTGCTTCCTTCTCCTTCCTCTGCCCTCAAACCCAAAGCACTATTGTAAATTCTGAGGTTGTGTAGTTCTATAATTCAAAACCAAGTTAGCTTTAGAAGCAACACCACACAGGCAGAGAGCTATGGCTACTGCACTAGGCAAGCAAGAGTGACAATGTTACACGTTGTTATTATGTAATGAACTATTGCTTCAGAGACAACCTACAACACATCACTAGGGCTACCCAGCCAGGAAAGGAACAGAAAGAGATTGTCTGAATGAGAAAGGCTACTTTGAGTTTTGATTTGCAGCCATGGTAAAAGACAGACACAAGCACCTTCAAACACACAACTTATACATGAATTATTGATAAGGATTATAAATATCTACCTTATTTGTTGTATAACTATCCCAAATAATTAATTTTCCATCTTGAGAAGCACTGACTAGTAGCCTAAATATGAACACAAAGTAAAATATGTTAATATAAAACAAACAAAATCTCAAAATAGACATACATCATGCATGATTATCAAGTGATTCAGAAGTTTTATAATTTCTTCATTACCCTCTGCTTTTTCCTTTTTATTGACGGGGTGCATTTATTGCAAAGATCTAGATCTCCATATCACCTGGCTGAGGAATCCCATGGGGACTCATGATTGAAAATGAACACAAGTGCACAACTCACTAAAGACACATTTTATGAACTCTCTCCACAACTGCTTTCATTATTCATATAACTACACAGTTACACAAAAGCAAATAAGGAATTTAGGCAAAAATAAAACTTGAGAACAGATTCTAGATGAATTCCTCCCTGGAGGATACAATACAGAGGCAGTGTTTACACCTCACCATCAGCTGCTCTAAAGGCAGCAAAACAAAACTCCAAGTTACTTTTCCCACTATGTACAAAAGGATCTTTTTTCAATGAAATAAAAATTTGTCAGTAAAATTTTTAAATCCCTACCATAGAAGTTACACAATTATTCAACATTTTGGAAAGTACAATATCCAACATTCCAAAAAATATGCCTCATCACATACTCTCTCTTGTTCAAACAGACTCAAAAACTTAAGTTAAAATTGAGAGGAGAAAGCAAAATGCCTAAGAACAGGCAAAGAACCTGAACCCCCACCAGTGCTGGTCTGTGATCCCCTGCAAGGGCACCAGCTCCACTCCATGAGCCCCCAGGGCCTGACAGGAATCTGAAGGTGGCAGTGGGAGCCCAGCCCATGCCTGGCAGCCCAGGGCTCCCTGTACTCACCTGGAGTCAGATCCCCAGTGCATGGCGTAGATTTTGGCCAGGTGCCCTCTGAGCGTGCGCCGGGTTCGCATTTGGATTCGCCCCACGGAGTCCAGACTTGTTGTGATCTAAAAATAAACCAAACAAACCCCTGAGATACTGGGAACTATTTTTAATGCACAAGATAACAAAAATACATTTGAACTTTGATAGAGTATCTATCTTGGCACACAACAAAAACCATTAAAAATAGGATACTGGTGTACACCCAGCAACACCGACACAAACAGATTTTACAGAGACATAACACACTTCACAGTGGCCACAATGAAACTTCAGGAAGCTCTTTTAAAATGCTTCTATGTTATACTATTTCAGATTATTAAATCTCAAAGTTTTCATTTTAAACCAATGAAAGAAAATGCTTCAGTATTAGCTGCACTGTTACTTTTTAAAGCATGGCAGAACTTTATATGCAAAATAATTCTGTTTCCAAAAAACTGCTACAAGATATTTATTTAAGTTTTTCTAAATATATTTAACACAATAAACATACTCTACTTAAAAGGTAAACTGGAAGCAGGTTCCATTAAGGTAGTGGGGGGGGTTGACTGGTTGGGTTTTTTCGCTGTTTTGTTTATTTGGGTTTTTTTGGTGGGGCTTTATACAGTTATTTAAAACTAAACAAACACACTGTACATTTCCAAAGGCTTCTTTCACTTTATTCTTTCAGTTACTGAACAGGAACATGCTAGAGTCACAAAGTGATATTTTTGTTTTTTCATCTCTCAAGAAACAGCCTACACAAAGAACAGGAACATACCTGAGCAAGAGTTGTGTCACTACAGGCTTTCCTGGCATCCTGAAACAAAAAATGGAACAAGTTGAATTGGAAAGGTAACACTGAGCATCAACTGAGAGGGTCTAAAGGAAAAGTAACTCTTGAACTAAATTCCAACACACTCAAAGCCACACAGCACCACTGACATGCCAATATTCCTTCTGTCACCCTAATCTGTTTATTGGGCAAGGAATCTAAAAAGCACTGGCACACAACGAGGGGTAGTGGAGGAAGAGGGACTTAAGAAAGGCCATGCCCCAGCAGCCTTTGAATCTCCCTTTCTACAGACTATGGGATTCAAAGGCATTTGGAGCCATCCTGAAGTCCCAGTGCCTACCCTGTTCCCTGTATCCTTCCCTGGGGTGGATGTGCTTGCTCAGGCTGTGCTGAGCACAAGGGAAGAACTGATCCACCTGGAAAAGCAACCACATATTACACAGGATTAGCAAGCTCTGTGCCCAAATTAACCCTCCTGCTGGCTGGGAGAGGCAGGGTGAAAATCAGCAGGCAGGATCCCAGGAGCAGGACACACAGCAGCATCACCAAAGCTTAGTGATGATGTACTTGACACCAACTGAAGGGAAAAAAATGGCCCAGTGACACCCTCACCCATTTCATGGAATGGGTGCTGCCAGATCCCCACACAGACACTCCATGGTTTTTTCCTTATCTCAGACTCTATGGACACAGGACTTGTTTCCTGCATATGATTCAACCTGACCTAGAAAACAACTTGACTTTCATTGCATAAATCAGCCCCACATTGAACCTTGGCACAGGTGAGCTCCACTGAGCCTCCCCTGCTACACAGATTGTGCAAGACCTGCTTTCAGTCACAGCTGTCACTGCACTGCTCTCCTGCAGCTCAGGCCCTTCCCAGGACACACAGACAGGCATGGCCAGCTCCCCTCTCTGAGAAAATGGCTTACAGGGGCTTGAAGATAGGCAGGAGCTGTGCAGCACAAATTGAAGCTAAAGCCATCACCAGGAGCAGCCACAGAACCCTCTCAACCCCTGGAAATTTCTCCACCTTGTGCAACCAGTGAAGCAGCCACCCAAAAACAATGGTGCCTCTTCACCAGCACTTGGTGTGTCCCTCCCAAGTTCAGTCTGTGCACATTGTTCAGTCTGTCCCTTTGAGAGCAGCAACAGAAACATTTGCTTGCACATTTTGGATCTGCCTCAACATGATCAGGCTGGGATCTTCAAGTTTTTTCAAGCTCTTGCTTGAGAGTTACTTGACATTGCAACTTTAACATTTCTTAAGTGCATGTTTATTTTGACCACCCTTTATAGCTCTCCTCCCAAAAAGCAAGCCTGAGAGTGGATTAAGTCATCTCAACTTATTTTTATAATGTCTGAACTGTAGAAATATTTATAAAATGTTGACGTCTGGAATCAGGAGGGGTTTAAAATACCAGAGCAGCAAATCCCTTAGCACTCAGGACTTATTTCATCCACAGGAAGAAACACACTGCATTTTAAATGACTATTTGTTTGATTGTCCTGAAATAGCTGAAAATGTTCAGCATAAAATGAATTCTGAATGCACTTTGAATGAAACAAAGCTTTTTTGCTCTTTAAGAGCGAGTTATTAACAACTCCTGTATTTGAGGCTAATACTTGCCATACAATTGGCAAAACTGCAGGAAAAGTAGAGTTTCAACAGGCTATTTTAATTCTTACCTTGAAACTGTATTTCTACATATGCATCACCATAACAGAATCATTAGAGTCAAAACATAAAAAAGTTCCTTTATGGAATTGCAGATTTTTTGCAGTTCATACAGCAAGACCATGCAAGATTTGTGAGAAAAATCTAACTGCTTGATCATTGTGCAGCCCTCAGAGTTTCCTAGCACACACTTCAGGTTGCAGTTTTTTCCCCCAATTACCTGTATTTTTAAAAATATAGTGTTATTTGTCCAGAATTTCTGGTTTGAATGACACTGTGCAAAGTAAGCAACACTTCTAAAATCATTATCCTCAATTTCAGTTCTCACTGAAGTGAGGACACATGTATGACATGGGAATTTCATTACAGACAGAACTAGGAATTAATTTTAACCATCAAGCATCTGAGAGATATCTGACAATTCACTGTTCAGTGTTCCACCTTCCTGCACTACAGATTCCTGCACTCCCAGGCTGTGCATTGTCTGTGCACAGACTGGAGCTCCAGCTGCAAGGGGAGACACATCACCCAGATACTGCAAAAATAAAATTATTAGTCATGAAACACTTCTAAAATATTGCAGACTGAAGTCCATTGGGGAATCAACAGCTCTGCACTGCAGTTTCTACACCTTAGGACACTGTTAGGTACAATCTTATCTGGACCCTAGGCACAAAGCTGATTTTCTGTGATTATATTGTTAGAGGAAATACCAGACAAAACCCAAGAGTTGTCCACAACCAAGACAGAAAAATGCTGCTGTACATAAAACATCAAATGCCATTAGTGACCTCATCTCTTTTAAGGAGTGCATCAAAAATAATTCCTGAAAATAACCAGCCCAGTAGATATTTGTGACACTTAAACCACCCCCAATTTTCAAATCCTCTTACCCATCCCAAACAAAAACTGTGCAATGATTTAATAACCAAGATAAGTAGCCATGTCTTCAAATGTGAAATTGAAGTATTTGGCCAGAAAGTTTCATGGATATTAAATCATCAGAAGCATTTTTAACTGCCTATGAATCTGCAGTTAGAATTAACCACAAGGTATCCCAGCCTGCACTCAGCTGCCAAGAGGGAATCACCAATTGCCACTGCTGGGCCGAGGGACCCCAAAGGCAAGAGACCCATGGTTACTGAGCTACAGCTGTTACAAGTTTGGGTGGTAGAGTTACAAAGGAAATGTTATATCAACCTAAAGCTACAAATTGGAGCCATTACCCAAGAGTCCATCAGATTTCTGTGCTCTAAAATTTAAAAAGTAAGCAAATGTTCCTGCAGCACAGTCTAAGCCCTCTAATGTGCTTGGTGGCTCTTTCTTCCCACAGCTTTGATGAAACCAGACTCACTGATTACCAAGACTGAACAAAGACTCAACTGGCTCCCCTCAACATAACACCATGATAAAGTCCTTACACAGCATGCAGAGAAGAACTGAAGAACTATGTACCCCTTTTAGCAGAATAATTCTGTAATAAAGCTTAAACTGGAACAAAAAAAAAGTATTTTAAGCTAAAAATTTATTTGTATCCTCTACAGAGCTGGTGGGAGAGGCACAGTGTCTCCTGATTGCCACCCTGTGTTTCCACAGGGGGTGAAGTGAGAGCAGGACACAGAGGCATCCCTGGATGGCTCTGAATGAGCAGCATCTGCCCCAGCACAGCCCTGAGACACCAAGTGTGCTCAGCACGTGGCTGACACCACCAGCAGCCTCACACCCCACAGGAGACACCACACAGCAACTGCTGCCAGCACATGCCATGCTAAAAAAAGCCTCTGTGCATCCAACATATTCCAAGAAACCTGTACTCTTTACTCTTTAAGCCATTCCCATATAAATCAGATTTATAACGCTTCATGCTTTGAAAATTTTGATGAAAAATAAACAGACTTTGAAGATCCTTATTATACTTCACTGAAAACTGCATCACTGACATATAAATGCACGTTGCAGAAGATTCCTGGAAAACTAACTTTGAACATGACAGCTCATACTTGGTTTATCTTCACTGAGTAAATGCAACAAAAAGAAATAGCCTGTATGGGGGCATCAGCATTTAATAAAAATAAACTCAACAGGAAGCCAAGAAACAGTGCTTGTAGAAATGACATCCACCCTGGAAGGCTCTCTCACACTCCTGCTTTAACCTCAGGCATCACTTTTAGCCCAGGACCAAGCTCTTCCAAGACCCCTTAAGCCAAACTTGTCATGCCTAGGTTCTAGGAGTTTGCTGCTCCCTTCTGTTTCTAAAAACCCAGAACATAAAACTTGCAGAAACACATACACCCCCTAGCACCAAAACTCAGGAACTTCAACAGGAAATAAAACATTTTGTTCAAGAAATATTACAAATTTACTTCATTATCCCAATGGCTTTTCTGATTTTTACTCAAATATTCTGAAAATACGTTAAGCTCTGCAGGAGTTAACCAGGAACAACTGACAGATCTTTACAGTTTGTTGCCACAAAGGAGGAGTTTTCTCATGGAAAAGAAGCAGTTCCCAACTCTTACTCTGATTTGGTTTCGCAGCTGCTCTGCCTCCTGCCGTAACTGCTCCAGCTCACTCATCTTCTTCAGCCTCTATTGCTCACACTCCACTCGTGAAGAAACCTGCCAAGAAGAGGGAAGAGATACTGAAAGTTATTTTTCTCCTTTTTAAAAAAACATAAAAAACCGAAGAATCTGTGTATATATTGATTTTTATTCTGCTTTTAGAAAGGCTTCCAAACAGACATTCCCTTTAGTACACCGTGTTAATGAATTTGGCAAGACCTGAGTGATTTCAATTCCTGAATTACCACGAGAAGCAGAATTAAGTGAAGTCTATTTTAAATACAAAAGCAACTGTCAACAGAACCACCCACTGTACTTTATAAACCTGTTTTGTAGCAGCTCCCTGCTCCCCCACCCAGAAATCTCTGTGGGTCTGTGCCCCAGGATGGCAACACAGAGCAGAGGCTGCAGGTGCTCCCAGTGTTTGCCCCTGGGCTCAGCAGGGCTGTGATACAGGAACCTTGCACAGGACATCCAGGGCAGACTTGCTTTTAATTGAAGATGAAATTTTTGAATCCTAGACTACAGCTGAAATAACAGATTCTCTCCACTTTTTTCTCACATTTTTTTCAGGCAAAACACAACGATCTTTTAATTTCAAAAGCACCCACAGAGTGAGAAGGGATAGCAAAAACCAAATCCTCCCTTAAAGCATCCTTGTGCTGATCCAGCCCTCAGTTCCCTAATGCAGTTGTCATCTGAATGAGGACTCCAAGTCAACTTAACAAAAATATCAATTAACAGTAAGACCACATGCAGGCACACTCTCAGGTTAGTAAGTTGTTTTTTTTAAATCAGATTTTTGCATTTGATTTTTTTCAATGTGTTAAACAAGTTTCCTCAGATCAATTTTCAGGTTTTTTATCCCCAGCTCAGCAGTGCAGTCAAACACCACTAGAGACCTCTTAAGTCTATTCACACACATGGAGACTTCAAAATCCTTGCAGTGAAAGCAGTATCAGCAAGTAAATTGCTCACAGACAAGCCAGGCACTTATTTGTAATTTTTTCATGACAGAAAATGCACACCAGAAAGGTGATAATAGTGGTCTCATGACATTATATAAAAAGCCAAAACACTTCTAGCTTGTAGGAGAAGACAGGCAAGTCAGACTACTGCTCACAAAATGAAAATTAAGGAAGGAAGGAAAAGAAGCAGGAAGAAGAACCTATTCAAAACGTTAGTCTATGTTTCCTATTTAGTCCACTGAAAAATGGCCAAAAACCAGAGAAAAAAAGGTCACAGTGTGTCTGGTAAGTTGCAGACCTCTAGGGAAACCCCTTTATTTGGTCTGGCTATTGGCTCCCTGCAGTTCAGTAGTGATGTGCTCTAAAGACTGATTCTGGAAAGGTTTCTTCCATCTATAAAACACCACACTCATAGATTGAAAAGAGTGAGAAGTTTTGGTTCAATGCAATTGGTAATAAAAAAATCATCCTTGGACTAACAGTTTATACAAGTGTTTGAGAGCTACAAAGTTTATTGCTTCTCAAGAAGAAAAGTATCTTCACTAATTATCCTTCTATTTCCTTTCAATCTCTGCTTCCCACAGGTATCACTTCAAGTCCATTTCAGAGCCAACTCACAAGCACACATTGAGGTGGATCATCTCCATCATCCTCATCAGTGACAGGGATGGTGACTCAGCTCTAACGAGCATTTCCAGCTACATGTAAGCAAACTGTGAGGTTCACACATTCCCCTTCCTTAAACCTGTGCTCTGTTCAACTACAAAGAATTACCATGTTGTAATTCATATGGGAATTCTCCAGGAGACTTCTCCATTTCCTACTGTGCTCCTTTTTCAGCAGCCCAGACTATTTAACACCTCTGAATGCACAGCAGGCATAACATACAAGCCATCAACACTGGTGTCCAATTTTAAGGATTAAGCATTAAAAACATGACTTTAGCACATGCATTAATCACATACCTTTACAGGCTATCAAATTTAATTACAACCTTAATGCCTTTAATGGGGATGCCTCTATGAAACATAGCCCCACTTTCAGTTCTGACAGTGCCAAATTAACCTTTTCAGAATGATTTTCCCTTTTTACTCCAGAACCTACTGAAAGGTAGCACAGACAAAACAATGGCCTCAAAGGTCTAAAGCCAGCCAGCCATGCTGCCTGCCAATGTAGTCTTGTGTGCTATTTTTAACAGGAGATGAAGATTCCTAGCAGGGAAGTTGATGTATCTCCAATTTTCTGAGAAGGGAAGTCAGCTTCTGCCCTGTGCTGTGCCACACACTTCAGTGCTCTGTAGGCAGTCACTTCAAATTCTCACAGAGAATTACTGATCATAAAGAAAGTGACATTATTCACAACTGGAAGCACGCATGGCCAGTCACGAGCACCCAAAGTTAGGGTATTTTTCCATTCATAGGTAAAGCTGTGAGCAGATTTGAGAATGGGCTGTAGCACTGCACTGGCATTCAAAGACCATCTGTAGCAATTCTGCACATAAAATTAATGTTAATTAATGTCACTTGTATCAGTACTGCTCACCACTAATGCCATTTCTGCACCAAGCTGCACCAGCAGCTGCACAGCTGTCAAACTTCACAACTTTAAATTGTGTCACACTCCTCCAAGCTCCTACATGGACAAACTCCAGAAGCCTTCTCACTCACCCACATGTCTTTAGTTTAAAAATAATTCTGAAGCAAATAAAAGGACAATGATCCTTCAGATTTTTAAAAGAAACTTTTAGCAGTGGAAGAGCCCTAGCAGCATCAGCACGTGCTAAACCTGCAGAGCTTTAAGCATTACTGCTCAGTAGAAATGTGTCAGTGGTTCAAGGTCAAGCTGCACCTCAGAGAGCTGCCTTCAAACCAGCACACACTTCCACTAAATCCAGGCTCACTTTAGAACTGGTTCACTCTAGCTCTAAGCACTAAAGTTCCTTTCCAGTACACAGAATTTGAACAACTAACTCTGAGATATGAAGCTATGTATAAACACCAAGATACTACAGTAAACAAACTAAGTGCAGTTCAACTATTAAATTGAAATGTATCCAGCAGTGTTGCAGTGCCTGGCAGCAGCTCCCAATGCAAAGGCCTGTGTGTTCAGATCATCCCCCACCATTAAGTATTTAGCAGAACTGGGAGAAAGATGCTTCCACTTGGGATTTTTATTTTTTTTCAAGCACTATTTTCCTGTGCCCACAGGAAGCTACAGAAATTGAGTGGGTAGGGAGGAAGCTCTCATGGATGCATTTCCAGATTCACACTAACTCTGCAAGCAGCATCTCTGAACTCCTGTCAAACTCCTGTGGGAAGATCTTACTGATGTCACCAGACTCACAACTCCAACACAGGAAGATCAGCACATGCTTGGAAGCTTGGAACTCGTGGATGCATCTGTGTCTGTTTCAATCCTTCTGATGCTGCAGCAGTGTGGTTAAAGAGAATTATGTGCAAAGACCATTACCCAGGCTAGATTCACTTGCTGTAATATTGTTTCTAAGCCTACCAGTGAGGTGAGCAGTGAAGCACAGAACAACACAGAACTGAGAAGCTTGGCAGCAAAGCAGAGGCTGCATCCTACAAACCTGTCCTCACTGCAGGGAAGCAAGACACCACCAAACCTTCAAGTGGGCTACCAGGCATGAGGTAAACAACTTGGGTTTTATCAGATTAAGTGCTGGGACTGCTTTGGCAGGGCTTACAAGCATGGCCAAGAACAGAGGTGATGGCTGTGTTGCAGACTTTTACTCGTACAAATTACTGAAAACCTCAGAGGATTCATCACCAACCCATACTGGGTTACAAAGGACACGGTGCCTCTTCACTCTCCCCTCCAAGATCAAAATACCACAGCCTGGAAGGAGCACAGCTTCACAGCCTGGAAAAATCTTTATTCCAAACATGAATTTCCCCAGGAGCCCAACTGTACCATGCTTGGTCATATACACAGCAAAGCCATCAGCTCTTGTATGGGCAGAAAGAGTGAGTGAGGATTCCTCCTGCCATCTCAGGAGACTGGGGCTAACATAATGTCACTTCCCTGACTTATTCACAGTTTTAATAAATGTTGAATCAAAAAAAACAATCTGAGTTTGCTCAGATGCAGAATATTCGTGGTATCTGCTTTTCAGCACTCAGAGGCAGCACCTCTGATGAAAGAGGTCAGAGGCTTCTCTTCAAATACAACTCATGATGTGCTCAATGAACTAGGAACAGTTCCACCTGCTGAGGCCCTGAGGGGAAGAGCACCAGGACAGGGAAGAACCTTTTAGCACCTCTGGTAGGCAAGTGTGCCACTGCAGGACACCCAAACCAGCAGGAAATGGAGCCAAGGACAGAAGCAGCAGCTCAGGGAGCTGGCTGTGAGCTGTGCCCTGGTGTACCAGGGAGGCTCATCCCTGCCCTCAGTCATTTGTAGGCTGGGCTGCACTCAGTGCAATTTCTCCTCAGACTTGTACAAGTGAATTTACTGATACCAAAATAAAGTGCCTCCCAAGGCAGTGTATTAACTAAGTCAGATTGCACAGTGTATCTAGTGCCAGGAAAGCCACTGCCAGGCCTGAGCTCTCCACAGATAAATGACTCCTTACACTACTCCTGATTCAGTAGCAGCATCATTTGCTAAGAGTTTAATTCTTCATTATACAGGCAGGCAGTGACAAATTACCCCAGGGTCTTGTCTCCAAAGTACTCTCTCTGCAACCTGTGGACTCAAAACCTTGTGGCTGGAAAAACACAATTTTCTCTGCAAGAGTTACTAGAGAAGTGTAAATTTGCCCCTCCCCACAACAAAGGTTTGCTATTTCCGTGCCAAATATATAGAGATTAAAGGGACTGCAGAAAGAACAGTCTGTTTGACTGGATTCTTAAGAGCTTTCAGACAGTTATTTAAGTAAGAATTTCATTTAGTATAAAAAATCAGTCCTTTAGAACTGAAACAAGTGCTTACCTACATGCATCAACCTCAGGTTTCCAACTCCCATGCAGCAAGATCTCAAAGATCTCACTCAGTAACACCAATGATCCACAAAGTGATCAACAGGCAGGAGGAGAAAGGAGGTTCCACATGGCTTTCATGTGATCATCCCTACCAGTGAGCACACAGGTGGCTGAACATAAGGAATGCTAATTACAGCACTTTACTAAATATAGGGGAAAGACACCAAGAACCACTCCAGCTCTCTCAAGGGAGACACACTGGTAACTCAGACACTCAGGCTGTGGACAGTGGGTTCTGGCTCTGGAGCTGAGCCCTGCCAGCACACACAGACCAACATTTTACACAGTCAGGATGTGCCAGAGAAGATTTTGATTAAACATTGCTTCATTTAGTGACACTAAACAAAATTTGGCAGCTTTGCCCAGTCATTTATGTCTCCCCAAAGCCATGAATAGAGAAGAACAAAAAGAGGTTCTATCTCCTACAGCCTGAAGAGAATAGATTTGACATATTCAAAATCTACAAACTTGGACACAGTGGACAAAGCCTTACATCAAGTGAAATCTCTGCCTGCACAACAGTAATGTAAAGTAAATGCAATGATGCTGTGCTGCAGTTACATACCTTCATATACAGCAACTATTTCAGGTGGAATTTTACATAAAGTATTTTTTATGGTAGAGCTGTTTGAGAATCATACATACACTCAGCTCTGCACTTAGGAAAATGAAACATTAAATGGCTTTTTTTACTATACCTTGGGCCTATGCTGCCTCTCCTTTGTTTCTCAAAGACCTTTCCAGCTATCCATTCTCCCAAGCCTTCTTTGTCCTGACTTGTAGCAGTACTGCATCAATAAACAAAGACAACAAAGCAAAGAGCTTTTATATTGGTCAACTAATACTTTAATCCCAGGAGAATAATACTGGGATAAGTTGAAATAACAGTATGTAAGGGCTATAATTGCCCCATTGTGTACCTTGGTCTTTATCTCTCCTCTCAAACCTCTTCAGTGCACCTCCCTCCTTTCTTTATCTTTAATGTATGTTTTGAGAAGTGCACTAAATGCAGAACATCTTACACACATCACTTAAGTAAGAAAAAATGGTTATTCCCTCAAAAAAAAATAGTTACAATTGAGCAAACAAGCCTGGAAATCCTAACTGAGTCTTTTCCCTAAGATTTTCCTATGTTCACTTTGTGAGAAGGAATGAAGCGCCGCTCTGATTTCCGACCCCAGGCAGATGCGAGCAGAGCTCGGCCGTGCTCAGGGCCTCTGGTCTCCCCAAGAAGAAAACAGGAAGCAGCCTGGGTGTGACCTCGCTCGCTGAGGTCAGTGCTATTGTTGCACTTCTGCACAGTTTGGAAGTGTTTTAAAGTGATATGTCTCCATTATAGCTCTGGTACAAAAACAGGAAATAATCAACCAACGCCTCTCGAGAGGAAGGGTATGAACAGAACTTTCTTAAACACCCATTCCTCTAGGAGAGACCATCCCCAATTCCAAGGGACCAATGGATGTGTGTGCTCAAAAACTGGATGGACAGCTGGAAAGGGGATGCTACAAGAGAGACTCCAGCAAACTGAGTGGGATTCGAGCCTCACCTCTGGGTGTGCTCACATGCCCTGAGCAGCCACACCAGGAACACAACCCCACCCACCAACCGGGTGGCACCAGCACTTTCAAGGCAACAAATATTGCTCCTTCCTCCCTTCTCCAAAACACCTCAGACCCACTCATCACAAAGAGCAGAAATATGTGCCATTTTATACACACGTACACACTCAGCCAGGGATTTTAACAGAACTTTGAAATAAAGCCTGCCACATCAAAACACTTCTATACACCACAAGAACTACCTGGAGCTCTGAAGAGAATTTACACCTCTGCATTCACCTCCAGGCTTGAGCACTGTGAACATCACCCTGGAGTGTTTCTCAGCCAGAGGGGAGCAGAGGCAGCAGCAGCTCCAGCAGGTCCCATGGTGCTGCTGCATCTCTAAGCCATCCCCTGGCTCAGAGAGTGAACCCACAAGGGCCAGGCTGGAACTGGGGCATCCTCAAGGTCCCCTTCCAACCCAAACCACTCTGTGGTTCCACAGGACCAGCCCCAGCACTCCAGGGCACGGCCCATGTTGGTTTTGGTGACTGGTTTGATGATGGTTTCCATAGAGGACAAACAGACCAACAAACACTGACCTTGTTGACAGCAGTGACAAAACAGACAAAGGAAATCAGTTTAGAAATTGAAGTGATTCTTAAGTTTACCAGTAAAAAATAATCACTGACTTGAGACTGTTATCATTTGGCTGACAGCTCATGACACTGGTCTCTTAAGCTCAGAGATATGAGAGTTTATTTCTAAGACCCAGCTGAAGTCAAAGCCAAGTACATTCATAAAACACATACAGAAAGGCCTTACTCTTCTTAACCCATACATTACAAATTCTAGAAAAAAAGCCTCAAGAAATTCAGTGTTAAGCATAAGGCTGAGAAAAGCACAGGAAGGAAGGAATTTTTTAGTCATGAATATTTCACAGTCCAACAGTGATTTTTCCAAAATTAACATTCTTGCATCTTATATTCATTATGTTCGTTTCCAGGTCAAAATGTTTTGGTACATAAGCACAGATTTATTTTTATCACACTGCCTGCAAACAGAACTACATGTGAAATTCAAATGATCTTGTCTTTAGTGACTGTAATAATGATTCTGCAGTAAAAACTTGGTTCGCTGACCTCAGGACACTCCATCACTGAACAAATTATTATTGGTTTTGCAATTCAAAACATGTAAGAAACGGCAAGAAAGATCTTAATGAAGCAGAAAGATATAACCCTAAGTAAGAAGACAGAGATGGTTCCAGTCCAATTTCTTCCTTGGGGACAGACAGGTGGATACACGTATGGAGTGAGCTTAGGGCTTTTGTCTCTTCAAATACCCAGCCATACCCAGAAGCCATTTGAACATTTTAGTAGGAAAAGTGTACTGCAGAGTGACAATTCAAAGTCATTCTGAAAGACCTTCATTTACATTTAAATCCATCTCTAAGCAAGTTTGACTTTGGATTTTTTTAAGGGCTAATGCATTGGTATTTACTGAAGTGGCATCATGTAGGGCCGTGCAGTGCTATGCATATAAAATCTGGTCTGGCACCTACAGGCACAAAAGATTACTGAAGCAGCCTCCTGTTATCTGAGAGTGAGCAGACTGCACAGCATGCATAAAAAGCACCAAGTGCACAGAAAATCTGAGGTTTAAAGTCAACGGAGAAGATACACATTAAGAGAAACTATAGTGTCTACAGGAAAAGTGCCTCCATTCATCTCAGATGACTGCTCACTTGCCTGCAATCATTTCTGGCTGACAGTCTTTGCAAGTGGAGCATTCTCCCTCTCCTGAGGAGCAGAAAGCCCAGCAGTACCAGTTACACACACACACTAAATCCTTTCAGATGTACCATCAGGAGAAGCCATGCATTTGATGGATCCCTGGTCCCCAGCCCCTTCCCTCCTCCCCATCCAGCACTCCCTTGGTACCACGGTCACAGCGAGGCTTTATGTGCTGCTCATGCCCTCAAGCTGAACACAGCTGCACCCTTTCACTGCACAACGAGGCAATATAAACATCTCAGCTTTTTTAATACCAATTATCCAAAGGGCAGATAAAACTACTGCCCTCAAGTCTCACTTTAATTTTGCTTTCGGTTCACAATACATTTCTGGTCTTTCTTCTCAATCACAATTACTTGTGATTTGAAGCCATGAAAATTAAATTCTCTTCCAGACTAGAGTTCAGGCTACCTTCTTAAAAAAATATTTTTTGAGATTCACATTTATATGAGATGCACATACTTCAAAAAAATCTACCAAAACCCTCACACTATAGAATGATCAGAAATCCAACGCTAGGAAGTAAAACCCCCATGTACTGTTTTGTCACCCCTTTTACTGCAAATACAGGATTAAGAGCACATGGGCTGTGTAGCCACTTCTGGTACCACTTCTGATGAGACTGATATATCCAATCTACACTCCTTGGATTGCTTTTGATGTTTCTCAAGCAGTAATGTCTCTTTTCAAACAGTCACTTACTAACAAAGATACAACATCCAATACTGAAGAAAGTTACCTTAAGGAAATCAGTAGCACTGTGTTCCTAATTATCTCCACACTTGCAGGGTTCTCAAAACAAAGGCTGTCTTTGTAGAAGTAATTTTTAACTGGTCCAAAGTCAGAAATTACCTATCTGCCTGGAAAGAAAATGGCCCCAGATTAAGTTTCCAACAGAAGAGGATAAAAGAGAAACAAATTGCTGCTGCAAAGAAATAAAATATTGATTCCCACCTGTAGTAGTCTTCCACAAAGTGTAACTTTTTTATTTTTTATATGAAAACTTTTTTGTGAACACATGATGCTCACTAGGTTATAAATAGCATAATTCCCCTCTGGAGACAAAGCCTAAGGTTATAGACAGGAATAATGAGTCAGGCAGCATGGCCAGGAGAGAGCCCACAGCTCCACAGCCTGCTTTGCTCAAGGGGCTTTCCAATCCACTGGAACTTCTGTTGCTGTAAATGCTCCCTGCATGTCTCAGTCCTGGTCAGCCAGGTCAGCAGCTCAGCTAAATCCATCTGTTCCAGCCCTCACCAGAGAGCAGACACTGCTCCTGGAAGCCTTTTGTGTTTAATGTTTGAGACACACATTCCACCACTCGAGATTTTCTCAGCAATGGTGACTGATTGGTAAAAGTGGCTGAAGATCCTTGAGTTTCTGCTGCCAGGAGCTCCATGCCAAAGATACCCAACTCAAAGAAAAGGCAAACACAGGCCCAGCTCTGAAACTCTGCAGCAGTTCAGCTGTTTGCTGAGGCTGTTGGCCTTCCAGCTCATCCTGTCACAGTTATCAGAGCTCTACCATTCAGGGTCATGAGGTTTCTGTAGAGATTGAGAACAGAGAATTCCTTGAGCTTCTGAAGCAGCACCACCAGGAAAAGTCAACTTTCTTCACTCCATCCTTTCTCAAAGGGCATGTTTGGCTTCTGGTGCCCATCTATCTGCATTTGTAAGAACATCTAACAGACGAGCAGGAAAAAAAGGAGTTGTAATCACTTCCCATCTTCAGCTACCTGACTTTCCAAATTAGCTGCTTTTTCCTAAAGTGTGGGCAACTGCAGTGAAACACTCACATCATCAAATACTCATTTACAGGACATTTACTCTGGATTAGAATTTTATTTTTATTTTGCTGTATAAAAATAAATAAACAATCCAGCTCCCTCTTTTGGGATGCTTCCAAGACAAAAGAGGAGTTTCCCCTTTTCTGGTGCCTATCTTAGAAATTAAGCTTGTGTTTGTAGCACCAAAGCCACAGTTTTATTTCCAGGCCATCTCATTCTCCATACTTTTAATTTATTTTGTATTTAGACACCTTGTATTAAAACTACTTGAAAAGGCAATGAAGAAGTTTCTTGTCCAACAAGTGTCAGCAGTGAGACTGAAAATAGGCATTCAGTGTCCTATAAAAAGCTGTAACACCTCCCTGTGGACCACTGCTCTTCTCCCTGAGATTGTCAGGAGCACCCAACCCCCCTGCTGTGCCCTTCCTACCATTCAATGGAAGGAAAATGGTACTAACGTCATGATTAATTTCTTGAAGTTCTAGGGCATCTGGACTTAATGCTGTCATGGAAACTTTGCTGTGCTGTTCTTTTAACTCTGCTTTGTCCTGTCTAATGTTGAGATTACAACAAAACTTGATCTTCCCATCAGCACCGTGCACAAGCAAAGGGAAGGGCTCCAGTTTGCCTCCTCAACAGCAACACAAGATAAATACAAGGTCCTAAACCTAATTCAGACCTTTTGGGGGAGAGAAAGCTCTTATAGAATTTAACTACCTAAACCCTAGTGTACTCCAATTTACTAATTTTTAGTACCGTGACATTACATTGCACTGTCAAAATCTTTAAGTCAAATCATCAACATTGATCAAAATCACTAGGTACACACTACATTTAGTGTGTGAAATCAGATTTTGACAAGCATAACATCTATACATAGAATCTGAATACTTTTTTCAGCTCAGTAACAACTAAGTTCAACTTAAATCAAGAACTGAAAGAAGAAAAATGTCTTCCTTTTCCAAGCTAGGAATAAAACTGTTTTGTATGAACAATCACCTAAAGCAACCAATTATGATACAAAGGGTCACCAGAAAAATACTCAGATCAAATATTTCTTTTAAATAGACCAATTTTAAATATCACGTTTCAACAAGAGATCGTAAAAGAGCATCTTTAATTTTAATGCAAGACTTCAAATGCACACAAATACTACACAAATTGCATTTCAATATATAAACATAAAATTACACAAGTGCAATTTATGTTAGAAATAATTACTACATATATATATATATATATATATCAGGAAAACCATATACAAAACATAATCCAACAAGAATTAAATCATAAGGTTATCCTGAAACTGCTTGGATGCTCTGTGCTAGACTAGATGCTGACCACCTGAATTAATGCCTGCATGATGAAAACAAACCAGGCAGGTCCAAGAGTTCCCACTGCTGATAGCAATGAGGTGATTTGTCCTTGTAAAGCTGCCAAGACAGTCACTGAAAGCAGCTCCAAGACCAATCTCATTTAAGAAGCACATTCAATCCTGGGATTGATTTTATGATTTCATTTTGTTCTCCTCCCCACCCCATTTGAAAATTAAAACCTTATCAAATAATTTCAATGTTAACATTACTCAGCTCTTTTAATGTTTCAAAACACTGGGATTCACAATGACTCAAACATTTGGCTTACACTGAAAATCCATATGATTAATATTTGTCTGAGATCTGATGTAAGAAGGAGGGGGAAAATAGCTCCTGCAAATTGTCATACCTGTTTTGCCCCAAAGAACTAATTTTACATAATAGGTGGCACTTGAGAGTGCCTTTTGCTCTACAATAGAATCAGGCACTTCCATCTTTCCAGTTTAAGCCCTTTGGAAGGCAGGAGACCACAAGAGTTACAGTAATTGAATCAAAACCTGGCTTAGTGTGTGTCAGCGTTTCACAAACTTTTGGAAGCCCAGACACCTTAAAGGAAGTGAAACCATCTTCAGTGAACTGCCTAAGTATTTGCCAGCCAGTGTCCACCTGCAGTTGTGCTAACTGTGGCTTTGACAAACCCTCAGCCCAGCTCTCTCTGGCACTGCCCCTCAGGAACTCACAGTGATCCACCTGCACACCCAGTGTCGCTGGGGGCACCCAAGCTGACATTCACTCAAAGCATCCACCAGGTCCCCTCCTGCTCTTGTGCTTCAGGCTCTCTGCAAAGCCAGCTCTGCTGTTCAGACACTGCTGAAGACATGACCCCATCCATCCCTGAGCAGTGCCATCCTTTAATTAAAGCTGCAGCTCAGGGCAGCCCTGCTCCTGTTATCCAGAAAGCTCCATGAACCCCTCTGCACCAAAGCACAGCCTCGAGAGAGCAGCACACATTCTGTGTTTTTCAGGAGCATTTGCTGTAGTTCTGTTTCAGATCTTTCACGTAAATTCTATTACAAAACTCCGGCTTGCAAAACACAGAAGTTGCATACAAGAACAAAACAATAACAACCAAATTTAATTACACACTTCCGAAGATGAAGTAAGTGACAGGTTTGCATCCAATTAGAATAGAGAAAAAATTTTGTGGAACTTAGAAAATGTTTTCTTGATTAGCAATACTATGCATACTTTCTAAACAGTCAGTTCCAGGCACTGGGGAGCTGCATTAATCTGAGCATTGATATTTCCAGACAGTGTTAAGTACAAAACACAATCCCTGCATTATCACTGTCCCAAAGTTTTTACCTTCACTGCACATCAAGCTCAGAGATTCTGAATTTCTTACTAGTTTGATAAGACATTCAAAGTCACTTCTGAGATATGAAAAAAATCTAAATTACTGTCTTCAGTAACACAATAGTCATAAATTAAAGACTCTGGCAGAAAAGAAGAGTAACTCAAGAAGATCACTTCTCTAGATACTGTCAGGATTTTTTACTTGTATTTCTTATTCACCTTCAAAATCTTATATTCATAAATTTTGTGCCATTTTTCTTAATGGTCCAGGAGAGAACTACACAGTTCCGTATTCAAAAATGTTTTTGCAAGGTTTTCTAGTTAGGTTTCTGAGTCCTACATTTTTCTTTAGAAGCCTGAAAATTAAAATACTTGGACAAATTAAACACAAGATGCATCAGTGCTCAACTAAGCAAAATGAGAATACAGTTGAAACTTTCATTATCTAACATAAATATAACACAACATTTGCAGCCAACAATTTTTTATTTAAGATTTAAACGACCTGACCAACTTTCCAAGCATTCAGAAAAGGGCTGAAGCGGATAGAGCAGCAGCTATTTGCTGTAGTACTTTAACAATACAGAAGAGAGAAAAAGACACATCTGTAACCTGAAACTCAATTTTTTTCATGATTAACAGGTGAAAGGTATATACTACATGCTATTAAAGCAGCCTTAGTTCTCAGCCTATTAAATCTGTACAACTCATCTACATTATCCACTGTGAAAACTGATTATTTTAGAGAAATAATAATTCAAAATATAGTTTGCCAGAGCAGACACACAGCGAGACATTTCCATACACTTACAATCTCCCTCATTTCCCTAGCCCCCTTCTTCCAAGATAACATCAGTCTGTTCTTTGGAAGCACAAATTAACTTCACCACAGCTATCGTGCTTAGAAATCACAAACAAACACTGCGAAAAACCCGCTGAAGATTCCCATCCATTAAGAGACTTTCAGGACTGTGCGTGCTTGTCATGTGGTTTGTTTCATCTTAATTTGTTGATGTAGTTATTATTCCTGTTAGCACAGCTCCAGACTTCCCCCAGCTCTAACCAGCAACTGCATCTCCTGCAGCTGACACTCCACTGCCAGGTTAGTGACCATCTTTGATATCACTTCCCATATTTCTAACACAAGTCAGGAAGCAGCTTCAGGTTTTACTCTGAACATTCCCATGACTTTGCAGACTCATGTCCCTGCTATTCCTACAGAGCAGTTTTCATCTCTCCCCGGGTTTTACAGGCTGGTACCTGTCTCCTCTCCCTGCACCATTTTGCCATTCTTTCCCCTTCCTTCCCCAGTACTCTCCACCCAGCAGAGGAGCATCCACTCCTCTGCTGCTTCAGAAACTGATTATACCTAATTAAGCACTTTTTTCCTCAGCTCATACTTAGCTTTGAGACTTACCCTGCTTCTATTTCAGAACTGAAAACCATCCTGGAAAATCATGTACTTTCCCAGCTACAATAACCAGCCTAATAAAAGACAACATCCTCAACTGTATAAT